ATGTCTATCCCAGAGCCTTTCATTCATTGCAGCTGTTCTGCCTTTTCTGATCCCGCTTCCCACCTCCATTCCTACCCCACCTTCCCATCCCCATAGAATTTCCTCTTGTGATTATTTCCGATTAAATCCTTCAGAGCTAGGTGAACATCAGCACCTAGAATATTAGAAAATACAATAGAAGTTCTCTTCCTAAAATTCACAACTCACAACTCACAAAGTTACAACTCAGACATAGAATTCCCCTGTGAACTAGTCAGTAGAGCTGTACAACTAATCTGGCCCACAGATTCATTCTGTCTGTGCTGATTTGTCCTGCTTTCCCCCTCTTGCCATGTGAAAAATAAAAAGTTCAATCTTTTTAATGCTATCCAAAAGTTTGTATTACCAACAGTAGTAGGAAAAGTTGGAGTGAGAAGGGTTTATGTCCCCCTCAACCCTGTAGGGAAAGATAATGTAGAGGATATGGGTGGGTTTTCAAGCATAGATGATGTTTTATTCATCAAAAGAGATACCCAGACTCCATCTGTTAGTCATTACATCATGGGTGTGACATTAGAGACTCGGGAAAAGAAGAGTGAGATTGAGGCAGGGAGGTGGTGGAGCTGAGGAGACGTGGGCGAGGAGTCTTTACCTCAGCTACGTGGTGGAGTCCAGCAATGGTTATAGGCATGCATTCTCCTCCCGCCTCTCTTACCTTCCTCTTTCTCCCACCACGCCTGACACCAAACCTGATACAAAGTGAGGAGCGGGCCCTGGTGAGGCAGATACTCATGGTTGTAGCAGGCTGGGCGAGGGGGAGGGGGAGAAGGAAAGGTTGGGCAGGCATGCTGGGTGGGAAGAGGAAAGAAGAGTGACTGTCGTTACTGACCTCATTGTTGAGCCTACTTCTCAGGTGCCGATTTGTGTGCAAGTAGAAGACATAAATGTGTGTGTGTGTGTGTGTGTCTGTGTGTGTTGGGAGAAGAGAGAGCAAGGGTCTCTACCACTAGCTGCCCACACAACTGTTGTCATTTTCCTGTTGTTACAAGTCTGTATTTGTATTATCTTTGTTGTTATAAATGAGTACAGGAGATGTGTAGGATTCAAAAGATTTTAGAGTTTTAAAAAGGGCATTAGTGGTGGGACGCCTGGGTGGCTCAGTTGGTTAAGCATCTGCCTTCCGCTCAAGTCATGATCCCGGGGTCCTGGGTCCTTGCTCAGCGGGGGGCCTGCTTCTCCCTCTGCCTGCTGCTCCCTCTGCTTGTGCTGTCTCTGTCAAATAAATAAAAACTTAAAAAAAAAGGGGCAGTAGTGGTAATTTAGAAACCATAGTATCACTGCTGGTCACCAAGTCCTGGCAGTCTGTCTCTGTTATCTCTTAAAGCTCTGTACTCCTCTCTATCCCCACAGTATATTTTCCCATGTATGATAATGAAGTAATTTGGTATAAGAACTATTTTATTTTCTTCTTAAGCTACCATGTAAGAAAAATAGTGTGCAGATGATGGTTATATTGTGACTTGATGAATTATACAAGATCAAATGTCAAAACATCAAATGGTATCCATTCTTTGTGCTGCCATGGGACTTTACATATACATAAATGTGGCACTTGTTCTGTTATAGTTTCATTCTTTGGAGTCATGCCATAGCTCGGCACTTAAAACCTACTGACCTTTCCAGTTTCATCTCTAGTTGTTGAACCCCTACTCACATTTATGCACACATTATATATACCCTAAGCACTAGCTTTACTGAATTGTAGCTCCCCAACATGCCATTTTTAATGCCTCTCATTCTCATCCTTCCTTCCTGCCACCTCTGCTTAAGTCAGCCTCAATTTCTGACCCTACTGTTACACACACTCATTGTTTGGTGCTCAGAACTCTAAGCTCTAAAGCCATTCCCAGGCATAGACTTTCCATGGTGTGTGTGTGTGTGTGAGTGTGTGTTACCAGAGTACACAAGCACTTTAGCAAGCAGGTTATTCAACTGCTCTATTTAGCGCTTGCCTAGAATTCTCCAATAACGTGAAAGCAGAGTCCAGGATTAAGTTGTGTGGTTCCTGAATTTTCAGGAGGTGACATATTGCCTTTGGTGCCAAATTTGATTAAACTTGATAACTTTAATGCCACTTGGTTCTGTTGGGGAGGAAGAATTAAATTGCTTACTCTAGAGAATGATTTTTTTCCCACTGAGGAATAGAACATTTATTAAAATTATCTTGGTGACCTGAAAGAGAAAAATGTACTTTTCTTCCTCAGCAGAAGCAGGTCCAGGACATTATTAGCATGTAGTAAAAATTGAATAATTGAGCAACACTGACTTCTTTGGGATTCAGCCTTCCAGCCCCTGCTATGTGATTAGTTCTGTCCAACCTGCTGGCATGCTTGAGCAGGAAGCCTGCAGAGGATTAGGAAGGAAAAACCCTTTAGCAAATCTCAGGTAGTGAAGACATTTGATTTAATTTTATATGTTACACATGGTAATCTGGTTTCCCTTGGCAACCTCCAGTTCTGCCCTACTTTATAATCAGAGGATGGCAGGACATTGCAGATTTGATGGCATCACCTGAAAGTGACTATAGAAAACAGAATTTGCTTCAAAAGAGGAGAGAAAAAGGTCACTAAAAAAGAATAGAAGAACCTGAGTCCCCTTAAAGAATGGACAAATAATTCTCTATAGCTTAGATACCCATGAGGATTTCATTGATGAGAAAAGTTCAGGACTATCTATAGGAGAGCAGTTTGGGAAGTGAGGGAAAGGAATCAAGTCTTGTAAATCTTTTTTTTTTTTTAATTTTTTATTTATTTATTTGACAGAGAGAGAGATAGCGAGAGCAGGAACACAAGCAGGGGGAGTGGGAGAGGGAGAAGCAGGCTTCCTGCCAAGCAAGGAGCCCGATGTGGGACTCGATCCCAGAACCCTGGGATCATGACCTGAGCCGAAGGCAGACGCTTAACGACTAAGCCACCCAGGCGCCCAAGTCTTGTAAATCTTTTAAGGGATAATAATTTGGGGCACCTGGGTGGCTCATTCGGTTAAGCGTCTGCATTCAGCTCAGGTCATGATCCCAGGGTCCTGGGATTGAGCCCCACGTTGGGCTCTCTGCTCAGCAAGGAGTCTTCTCTCTCTCCCTCTGCCCCTGCCTCCCCCCCAACTCATGTTCTCTCTCGCTCGCTTTGCTCTCTCTCTCAAATAAATAATCTTTAAGGGGAAAAAAGGGATAATAATTTTATCATTTGTGAATTGCAGTTAAGGTTTTAATTCAAAAATGACAATAGTAGTTACTATTTGTTAAGTACATGCCAGGAATCTTACTTGGTTCTTTACATATACAACTTCATTGAATCCCCACAGTCTCCCTTCAAGGGGAGTATTAATATCCCTTTTTGGATGAGAAAACAAGTATTTATTGATCTCTTAAAGTATGGAGGCTGGAGGAAGGTGGGGCAATATGGACTATAAGGTTTCAGCTTTGGGAGATCATTTTTCACTTTTTTCTATGATCTTAAAGTCCTACAAGTCTTAATAGCCTCTATTCCAAAATAGTATACTAATGCCCATTAATGATAACCTCTAGCCACCCAGAATAGTTTAAGTTACATTCATCTTAGTGTAACTCTTTCATTTTACCCATTAGGAAACTGAGTGCCAGAAATTTGGTAAAGCCTAAAACTAGGTCTCCTGACTCCTAGTAATTGGTGTATTTTACCATGCCCCTATACTTTTCCAAGAGGGCTTGCATAAATGGGAGGAAAGAAGGATGGGGTCTTGTCGTGCTGTCAGTGGCATTAGGTTGAACTAGCAAAGTAAACAAACTACTGAATCAGAAGGTACTGATGAGATGTTTAGGCATTGGGAACAATTCTAGTTCTTACTTGGCCAGTAATTAATTTATTCTGCTTGACTCATGTCTGAACAATGTAATACACCTAAGATTTCCAAATAAGTCTTTAAAGGTATCTAGTGCCTCACTGGTCATTTGAAGTTTAAAAGGACAGGATTCTACATATGAACTGTAACATGTGTGGGGGGGGCAGGTCTTGAGGTAGATGTGAGCGATAATGAATGGCCACTTTTGTGACAGGCGGATGCAGAGACTACATATGGTATTTTATTGACTTACACATGTATGCTTCTGTCATATTCACAAAATGCTATATAATGAGATAGGACATGTCATTAGCTTTCTGTAAAGTGACAGCTTTGGGAGCCTACTGGCAAACTGAGAAATCTTAGTATCACACACTTACTATGTAAAGCATTTTATATGAATTTAATTTAATCCTTATAACAACCATAATTGTGAATGTTATCTCCATTTTAGCAACTTTTTAAGTTTTTTATTAATTCTTCCCAGAACATTTTCTCTAACATTTTACTATGAGAATTTTTAAACATACAGTAGGGTTGAAAGAATTGTACAATGAACACCCGTATACCCACCTAGATTCTATAATTGTTACTATTTTTCTGTATTTCCTTTATTATGTATTTTGTCATCAGTTTATCCATCCACCCATCTTAGTTTTTGTTGTATTCTGAAGTGAGTTACAGATGTTGGTACATTTTACTTCTAAACACTTACATGTGGACATCATTAATTAGAGTTAAAAATGTGGTAGCCCTATTAAAAAAATGAAAACAAAAAAACTGAGGCCTTCAGTTCTGGGGGACATAGTAGGTCTTCGTTCACTTTTGGCCTTCCTCTGTGAAATACTAAGAGACTTTAAGAAAAAAAGTGAGCTACTCATGTTAAACACTTATACCTCATTAATGAGATAGAAATCTGTTCCTAGGCCACAAGCAACCCAGCACTGCAAAGTGGCATCTTACCTCATTTCTGATTTTAAATGAGAATGAGGTCATTGCCACATTTCTGAACACTAAGTCCTCCCCTAAAAAGGAGAGTTTGATTAGCAAATTAGTTAAGCACTTTAGTAATGATATTGGAACTTCATTTCAATGAACATTTTTCCCCTTTTCTCTTCTTCTGGGTGTGACTAAATTGCCTACAGCATGCTGCATGGTTGCTGGTAAAACAGGAAATGGGGTAAGTAATTTAGGTGGGGAATTTGTTCTACCATTTAAATATAAGCTACCTGATTCTTAAAGTGCTTTTACTACTACTATCTCTTTTTTTAGAGTGACTTCACTAGCTCCTAGAGAAATTGAAAGAAAGAGAAAAATTTTATTATATGAATTTGGGTGTCAACCTTGTTAAATTAGTTTATTGGCATGGCATATTATTAGTAGTCTATTAAAATGGATTCATTTTTTTGTAGATTTAACATTGAATGTAAATACGTATTTTATATTTTTACATTAGGCACTTATATAATGTAGCTTGGCAAGCTATTATAAAAGAATAAATTTTATACTAGTCTTAGAAACTAAATTATAAACTATACTATAAAAGATACAAAGTAAAATCCTATTTAAAGCAGAACAACAGTGAGTTTATACATAGATAAAACGTGTAAAACATAGGTCCACAGTCCTTTATCTGAAACCCTTGGGGACCAAATGTGTTTTGGAATTTAGAATTTTTTTAGATTTTAGAAATGTAATATGGTGATAAATACCATATATAACATACCCCTCCCCTCCATGGTCTGAGGTGGTACTCTATAATCAAACACATTAATGTGTTTGATTTCTGCAGTGAAATTCTGCAGTGAAACATAAATATTCACATTAAGTTTGATACACAAAGTCTCTAAACAGCCTCACATGTTCAAGTCAGTGTTTGTTTGCCAACTGGTTTAAGAAAAAAAAAAGTCTTTAATTTTCCAGACCTTTTTTGGATTTTGAAACTAAAAATTCTATACCAATATAAAAAGGGCCACATGACTACTTAAGTTTCCTGTGCACTTTGGAGAGAAAAGCACAAAGAGAAGTATAGATTTCTGTATTTGAATCTTATATTTGGTTAAGTGATTTATAAAAAAAGTAATTGATTTGGCCTTTTTTTTTTTCACATCTGCTTTTCTGAAAGGGTAATAGCTGTATATCTAGCAAAGGTTTTGGGGTTTAGTTAGGTTATGTTAAATTAGTCTCAAATGCTTGTGATTCTGGCATAATAAAATTTGATCCTATGTTTGATAAATTTTTAGCACAGTCAAGGCATGCTATTTTCTAAATGTTTCCAGTTTCCATCCACATTGGTTGTGAGTTGCTGTTGTTATTCTTTATTGAAGAATTTTAAACTAAGCTTAGCTCTTCCAAAAGATCCTGTTCAATATAGAGATATTGGCACAGAAGAAATACAGAATACTAATCTTTTCCCTCAGTATCCGTAGTTCATTCTACATTCAAAATATTGTGGAAAAATCATTAAAGAATTGATTCAAGGAATTTAGAAAAATTAATCGTGCTTGGATATTTTGGCTCATCTTTCCTCTGGAATGGTTGTCATATTGTATCTATAGAAAAAGTGGTTGCAGTTGACATCCTCATCAGTAGTTATCTGACACAGGAGAGAGGGAAATGCAGTTACTAAGTACTCAGTTGGGACTGAATTTACCTCAGTGACAACTAATGCCTCTAAAGGACCATCAGGCATATGCTAAGAACCTCTGTGAAAACATTTACCCTAAATTATATTAGAAAAGTTATTAAGGCACATTGAATTTGCAGGATTAAAAATCTGGCATTTTAAGTGTTAAATTTTTGCCTTGTGTAGAAGGTTAAGATTTCCAAGATGTCTATTAACCCCTTTCTACTGTTCTTTAATCTGGAAAGAAAAAATACCTGTAGGTTTTTTTTTTTTTTTAATTGGACTAAGATGTCTAAATCTATTTCAAAGACTATGAAGGGTTTAAAATACCAGTAATGTCTTAACCCATATTTTGGATTGCTTTTTGCTGCAACTCTTGGTACTCTCTAGAATCTAAACAATGTTTAAATAGTTTTCTATTCTTGTGTTTTCCATTTCAACTTTTTATCCTTTAAAATGAGTTCTCAAACATTAATTACTTTTCAACTGTGATGCTATTTTATGCAAATATCATTAAACTGTTGGTACAATATCAAGATAGTCTTTTAAAATACTTAAAATGTTTCTGATACTCAGAGAATTAGGAACAGTTTAAGAAGTTCAAACAGTGTTTCAATAAGTTCTTGAATGTAGAGAGTAATTTGATTCTTTGTCAGATGTAGGGTTTATCTGAGTTTTTTATTGTTAAACCACAATCCCAAAGCATATGAAAGCATTCTGTGTAACCAGTTACACTCTCAGCTGGATATAGAATGTGTACATCAACCATTTCATAATTTGTATTCTTAGAGGAAAGTCGTCTTTATATGTTTTTTAGATCAATTAAATTTAGCCATTAGCTAAATTATTTTTTATTTTCTACCTGCAGTTAGTAGTGTCTTTTTGTCTTTAAGAATTAAATTACAACGAATGTTTGATATAAGTAGTCATTTCTATCAGTGAAAATTGGACATAGAAGAAATGATTCACAAGTTGGTCCTAACATCTCTTGTTAAAAGCAGCCCTGTATATAGCCATAAAACTGATTTGTAGTTCATAAGACTGATTTGAATGGTGTGGGCTTGTTAATTCATTAGTGATATCATAGTATTCTCAGCATAGCAAAGCAGTTTTAATAATATCATACCATACATGCTTTTCTTTCTTTTTATTTAAGTTCCTTTCTTTTTTAAAAATTTCTTAGTAGGCTCCATGCCCAACATGGGGCTTGAACTCATGACCCTGAGATCAAGAGTTGCATGTTCTACCAACTGAGCCAACTAGGCACCCCCTTCAGTTCCTTTCTATAACAATTTTAGGTTACAAACTAAAAGCTAGAGATCATAACTGGGACTTCCTGAAACCTATTTATTGGCTCATGAGTAGATTTGGGGGGAATGTCAGATTTTTATTCAGACATTTTTCTGATATTAAAGTGACAAGCATTTCAGCACATTGATACTTTAGGATTTAATGTTTCATCTTTAGCACTAAAGTATAGCTTTTACGTTGATTTCCCAAAAGTAAACCCCATTATTAGGAAGAGAGTAGATGTAAAAATTTTTAGTCTGGATGAGATTATTGTAATACACAGTTTTATTGTTCCTGAGCAATAAACAATCCCTTCTATTCCATCTTTCTGTCTTCTGACCTATAACCCTGGAATCTGGCAATGGTAGTTCAGAAAAACTTATTAGTATACTTTTGTCTTTGAAGCTTAAAAACTGTCTTATATACCATTTTAAAAAGCTGTTTTTTGATTCTACTAGACTTTAAGGTCCATGAGCTGAGGAATTTTTGTCTGCTTATTCTCTGCTTTCTATCCAGTGTGTAAAAAGTGCCTGGGACATAGTAGGCACTCAATAAATATTTTTAAATAATTGCATAAATTCTTTCCTTTAGCAGAAAAAGTAAAGTTTTCCATTTCAGTGAATTAATTTTTATGTTATTCAGAAAACAGAGTCTGTCGCTGGGAAGAAATGATATAGTTCAGCTAAAAGAAGCCTACAAATGGATAACTCACCCCCTGTTTTCAGAGGAACTGGGTGTTCCCATTGATGGAAAGGTATTGGGTCATCGTCGGCATTGTTAATTTCATTCTCTGGTTTTACCAGTTTTACTTCATTATATGGTAGAGTTTTGATTAGCCAAAATAATCTTCTCTTTAAATAACCCAATGGAGAATTTTTAAGCTTTTAAAATACTAATTTCTAACAGTCTTAAATTGAGAAAGATTTTATTTTTTTAAGACTTCTTTATGATCTAAGACATTTATGAGTGTAACAAATGTAGTATACCATAATTGACTTGAAAAGATTAGAAATGAATCTAAGCCTTTAATATGTCTATAGTTTAATTGGAGAGACACATGTACTGATACCAAGCAATATAGAAGTAACTGTGAATAAGTATAGAGCCAACTCTAGACTATTTAAATTCAGTTATCTGGGGCTAATCTTGTTTTCAGGTACAATCAATCAACTATAGTGAGCATGGGTTCAACCTATCCCACTTTGTTATATCTCAAGTCCCTCTATTTAATTTTAGGCAAAGACTGCCTTTGAAACCAGAACACCTAGCCATCTCCCCTGTTCCATAATGGACCTTGCCTCAGTCTCCAGAATGGACTAAATTTTAGGAAAGAGCTCAACAAGATATATTCCCAGCTCATCTTAAATTAGATTTTTATAGTATGACTTCATTGCTTCATGATTTTGCTTGAAGGAAATTCCCTGAATATCAGACACACCCCTATTCAAGTAAAATCACAAAACCATCTTTCAAAGCTAAATAGTTAAAAAAATTTTTTACCATTCAGAATTATATAGCTCTGTTTCCTTCTGTTAGTAAGAATAAACTCTCTCCTTTAAACTGAATACTGACAGAATAGAGAATAAAACCACTTCACACATATACCGAGGGGAAATGAGGTAATGAAAGTACTTTGGAAATTAGAGAAGTCATTGATGCAAAATATTTTTACCTCAAACTTCAGTTTTGAAGCATAAGTAATTTTACATGTTGAATTAATGAGAACAGAAAATAGAAAACAAAAGATGCAACAATGTTCTAATAGATTCAGAATGAGTGAAGTTTTCTTGAGTAAAAGCAATGTCTTGTAATTTTAATTTTACTGTGTAAATTAGAGAGCAAAAAAAATTTGGCTATTCAGTGTTGTGATTCTAGAGAAGCTAATATGCTGTTGACAATCCAATGCAGTCAGTAAATACAGAAATACTCAATAAAAAAGATAAAATTGTTACATGGTATGGCATTTATCATTTTTCTCAATGTGGAATTTTGTTCTCTGTGAAGATTAATGTACATAGAGTATGAAATTGTGCTTTTTTTTTGTATGCAAGGATGTTCATTATAGCATTTTTTAATAATGGAAAAGTTTACAACTTAAACATCCAACACTCCCTGGAGCTGAAGAGATGAAAAGATGTCCACACATAATATTAATTAAATAAAGCAATTTTCTAAAAGTATGTTTAATATCCTAAGAAGTATATACATTTATGTTTATATTCATAAAAATGGCTAGAAGGAAACCACCTATTACTATGTTCTACCTCAGTGGTGTGGGATTAAAAATCCATTCTTTTTGATTATTTTATAATTTGTATGTATCATTTTTATAATAAAAATTAAGATCTCTCTTTTTTAAATTTTTTTATTCTTATATTATCCCCATACATTACATCATTAGTTTTAGATGTAGTGTTCCATGATTCATTGTTTGTGCCTAACACTCAGTGCTCCATGCAGCATGTGCCCTCCTCAATACCCATCACCAGGCTTTTAAAACTCAAATCCACTAAGAAGTTTGAGTAAAGTGCCACAAAATAAATAATAAAAAATAAAGGCTCCCACAGAGATTTTAAGCATGTGAATAAAACGCTTTTGCCTTGCTAATAATTGTAATCATAGGAACAATTATCTCTTTCCAATTCCCTGAATTCTCTTTCATCTTCACATTGAATTTATATACATGTATAAAAATCATACAAATTTATTTTAAAATTTGTTAAAAAATTTTTTTGGTAGAATAACTAGTGATTGAGCTTTAGAAATTAAAAAAAAGCCAAAAAACAAAACTATTTCCTTTCCAGCTGCCCCATGCACAAGCTGATTTGAGAACAGTAGTATTTTCAGTTTTCCTTGCCACTGTTTGTGAGCCAATCTTTGAGAATTAATTTCTATTTCCATTCATAAGTGGTTAGATGTTGGTTTCCTTTTGCTCATTTTTAAACTGTCTTTATAATTTTTAGAGCTTGTTTGAAGTGAGTGTGGTCTTTGCTCACCCAGAAACAGTTGAGGATTGCCACTTCCTGTAAGTTGCTACATAAACAACAATGTCAGTTGTGTAACATTGTTAATGCTTTTTTGGTTTTCATGAAACAGTGTTCCTCCTCTTTGTAATGAGCATATCAGAACTTGTCATGTCTGTTAGTAGGTTTAAAATGTGCTGTCTAATATAAGGGTGTAGGCATACCAGTAGAGCTGGTATAGGGATTCATTTTGTCTGCTCTTGATATATTGAGTTTAGCAGCCATATATATTAAAATATATGAAATATATTTGAATTATATTCACCCCAAAATAAACTCATTAACTTTTTTTATTAACTTAAATTTTACTTAGACGTGCAATATGCCCAGATTGCTTCAAGCCAGCCAAAAACAAACAGGTAAGGATTTCTCCTTTTTATTCTTTATTGAGTTTTGTCTGCACTGAATATTCAGATTAACAGCAAAATGATATGCGTTAGAAATACTGGCAGTGTATTATACTAAGAATCATTCTTTAAATATTTCCATTTGCTACATTTATTTTAATTTTTTTTCAACTCTGAATACCTTTGCCTCTAGCTAGGAAGTCATAACACAAACATTCTCATATTTGTGTCACTGTCTGGGTTGTTTCCCTGGTGTTGTTAAATTTAGAACCAGTGTTTCAGTGATGTTACTGTTACCCATTTGGGGGAAATTCAACTTTTAGGTTTTAATCCCCAAATTAACTCATTGAGGAAAATCCACGTTAATTATTAGCATTCCAAACTTTTGTCTAATATCCATTTTCTAGGAATTGGTATTTAAGAAATATAATCCAAGGGCGCCTGGGTGGCTCAGTTGGTTAAGCGACTGCCTTCGGCTCAGGTCATGATCCTGGAGTCCCGGGATCGAGTCCCACATCTGGCTCCCTGCTCAGCAGGGAGTCTGCTTCTCCCTCTGACCCTCCTCCCTCTCATGCTCTCTGTCTCTCATTCTCTCTCTCGCAAATAAATAAAATCTTAAAAAAAAAAAAATTAAAAAAAAAAAAAAGAAATATAATCCAAAATAAATTATTTTACTTAGGACAATCGGAATTAATATGGCCTGTTTCAGGCTACATTTGCAAAAGGACATTTTATTTAAACTTCCCTTTATTTGATGTGAGCTGGTCTTCATATTAATGAGCAAATTAGTTAGCATATATTTTTAGTTTCTACTATGCCAGGAGGGAATGGCAAAGTAATGATATTGGCAAGATTTCATGCCACAGATACCTAGCTGGTTTTATGCAGAGACTCAGGCATTCTTAGTTTTACTAACATCTATTTTGCTGTTATGGTTGTTAAGAAGAATGTAAGCATATTACCAAAGATACATCTATTGGTCTTTACTCTTGGCTTTGATTAATTGCCGAGCCTTTTGGAACTGGGTGCGGGGTGGGTGTTGGGGGAGAGTTTGTAACATTTGTCGAATGCTCTGTGCAGAAATAATTTACAAATGCAGGCAAAGCCTAAAGCACTGCTTCCCACCTTTCTCACATCGTGATACACCTAGAACATTACAATGTTTGTCCAGCACCCTGAGGTCAACAAATGAAGTTGCTCTAAGTTGGAGGCAATGGGCCGGGGAGTTCTCTCTGTCCAGGTCCTGCCCCTCTGCCCTTGTGAATTAGAGGGCTCAACATCTTAGGTACAATTATAGCTTATTGCTTTGCCATACCAGTTGGAAAGCTCTGTCCAAATAACCTGTAGCCATATTTATATTGAAGATCTTGTTTCAGTTTTTGTTATCTTTGAGGAAATATACAAGTACCAGCACCAAATAATGGAATAAGGACATTTTTGTCAAAGCATCATCGACACCACATCATTTGGCCAGTAGTACAGTTGTATGTAGCTTTCCTGCCTTTTTGTTGGGAGCAAATTACATGACCTTTTGAGATTCTTTCAGGCTTAAGATTTCATATCTTAACAGATAGGCACTTATTTTTCAGTTTTAACCCTATACCTAGGGGTTCTCCAAAATATGATTTAGAAAACCATTGATGATAAACCGTTGAGATGCCTCCATGTGCCTCTTTAGAGTCAAGCGTAATTTCTCCAAACAGAAGAGACAACTGTGATTGATCATAGTAAAGCCATTTTATATGCACTAATTCATTCTAGTGTATCTATGATGTGGTTTGGCTTTTCTGGTCTTAAAAAACCCAGTGTGGGACATTTGTTGTAGATGCCCTTCTATTCAGCATGGTGAATTTGTTTAATTTCTCTGTGGCTGGTGAGTGATGTTGAGTTGCTAGATGCCAGGTCATGCTGGTTGGCTCTGTTTACCTCTTAGCCTGGCAACCTGCTGCTAAATTGTTCTGCTAGATCTACCTGTTATTATGGACATAGACTAAATTGAAAAAGAGGGTTGAGGGGAGAACTGACAGTATGAATGCTTAATGTTTTATTTTCTTAAGCTTTTAAGTATTTCTGTCCTATAAGTATGATTTAAAATGATGTCATTTCTCCAACCATGTTCTGTGTTTCACCTCCAATGTTTTCTTGTTTTCTTGCCTGGGTGATAAAACGTCTTTTCTTTTCATTTTTACCTTATATAGTCAGTGTTCACTAGAATGGCAGTTATGAAAGCATTGAATAAGATAAAAGAAGAGGATTTCCGCAAGTAAGTAGAAGTATAGACACATGGGAGCATCATGGAATTTTCTAATAAAAGGAACGTTAGAGATCATCTGGATTATCTCTAAAACAAAACTGGATGTATTTCAGGGATGATGATTGTGTCTTAGTCATTGTTATATCCCCACTCCCTGGCACAGTACCTGGCATGTAGTAGTGTTCAATAAATGTTTGTCAAACTGATATTTGAATTTATGAATCAAACCCAACTTCTTTATCTTTAGAAGAGCACATTGAGGGAGTTGACTTGCCTAAGATTTCAACTGGGTAATAGAGTGGACTTAGAGCCAGGGTTCCTGACTCTCCAGCCCAAAGCTGGTCCCATTACATCCCTCATTCTGCATTTCGAGTATTGTCCATCTCCAGAAGAGGGAGAAAAAGGCTCATGAGTTCTTCACTTGTTAAAATATGCTGAAATACAATAAAGCTTATATTTTAATTCTCATTGTGTTCATTTTATTTAATAAAATATTATCATAGTTATCCTTCCAGAATATCGTTGAATAAATTTCAAACAATGAAGCTATGAAGAAGGTTTTATTTATTTTACTGACTAAAAGCAAGCCTCAGAAAATGGAAATATTTCTATTAAACTTTAGGAAGTAAAGTTAGCTACTCTCTACAAGCAATAGTTCCTGAGTTTCTAAGTAATTTTTTTGTTAAGACATCTTAGGAAACTGTGACATTTTCAAGCCAAGCATTTGGAATAAGTCCATATCTAGTCATTTACAGGTAGACTCCAGTCCATGGCTTTGGAAGTTCCCAGATGGTAGACAGAAAGTAAAGCCATATATTGCTCTTTCCTGTCTTCAGTTAGATTGAAGTTTCTTAGCTAAAAGGGCAGAGTCTGTCACATTCCACTTTTTCTGGCCCTGAGGTCATAGTTGGAATGAGAAAGAGAAAGAGAGAAAAATGGCAGAGACCCTCCCTACAGGTGGGACTTACTCCTGTGACTAGTCTGTCACTGCACACCAACTTTACCCGAATGATTAAGGGTTTTGTAAGCTGGCACCAAGTGTTCATGGATAGCAAAATGGCTAAAGAACCTGGAGAGGCTTCCACTTCATAAATATGGGTTTTTCTCTCAAATCTCAAGGTTGTTAGAAATTATCATCTGGGAACATGAGGCCTCCTAAGTGAAAGGTAGTAGCAGAGCCCTGATTTACTTAGTGCCACTCTTATGTATTAAAACGTACTTGAGGCCTGAAAGACCTTTATGATTCCGAAACTTAAAGTTAGGGAGTGGCTTAGTCCATGAGACTCGGGCTCTGTGTGTCTCAGACAATGCTGATTCATCCTAGTTATGTGGTTCGATATCATGTCTGGAAAATAGTAGCTGTAAAATTTATTTTGTTTTGCAGGCAGTTTCCTTGTCCTCCAAACTCACCAAAGGCTGTATGCACTGTTCTTGAAATTGAGTGTGCTCATGGTGCTGTTTTTGTGGCTGGTAAAATATTTAGTCTAGAATATACTTACACTGTCAACTTACTCTCCTTTCTGAAAAACTCAAATGGCTCCTCTGTTTCCTTCTTATTTTTATTATTAGGTTCTGATTAGTTACCTCTTTTGAGAATTAGGACTGATAGCCAAGCTTATTTTAAATAGGTTCTATAGGCATTTTTAAGGTCCACTTAGTTTTGTTATTTAAAATGCCATGCCAAAGGGAATGACACTTCTCAGGTTTTAATAGTTTCCATCAGAGATGGCCAGTACCCATAGAAATATGGGTAGATGCAGAGACCCGAAACCGATCAGGAGAAACTTAGCCACAGAGAGCATGAAAGTGAACTTGAAAAAATAATTTTATCATCTGCAAAATGACTGAAGACTGAGCTTCTGAAAAAAAAAATTGTTGCATTAACCTTCCCAAGAGGTAATCTAGCAGATAGTTTTTGTTTTGAAAGCTACATCTATTTCACAGTAATACCTGAAATGAAATTGCTCTCTAGTCTCAACTATAATACCCTGCCCCATGGTAATGAAAGCTACCTGCCATTAGTGCAGCTTTATTCTTAAAGCAGTGAGTCATGTTCTGTTAGGGTTGTGGGGTTTTTTAAAATTACAAAAACTTCAAAATTTCCTGTATTTGAACTCTTTGGAATATATTATCACCAATGTGTATTTCATTAAAAGTATTATTAATCAAGTGTAAAAGCAGTAGTTGCTGGTTTTCTTTTTTTTCTAATGGTCCTTGGTGTGTTCCTTAATATTACTTGTTCAGTCAGCCAATCAGATTAATAAATATACTGAGCATTCCTTTAGAGTTCATTTGATGATTCATATGATGTCTTTATCCATCTCTTCTACTGTTACCTTAAATCTTTTAATTATTTATATATCTGTGCGGGCTCCCCAAATTAGGTTGTTAGTTGAAGGCTAAACATTGTTTTGTGTCATGGCACCTAGGATATTGGCACTCAATAAATAGTTGTTTTATCCTAATGTGTTAATGATACCATTCCATCCAGGCTACCTTATGTTTCTTTGGCAGGGAGATATAATAAATATTCCAGGAATTTACCACAGACTCCTTGGATAATTGATGGAGAAAGGAAGCTGGAATCTTCAGTGGAAGAATTAATTTCAGATCACCTTTTGGCAGTATTCAAGGCAGAGAGTAAGTGTTATAATATTCATATTTTAAATACATTGTCATTCATGAATAGGTTTCTTGGAGGTGGCAGGAAGGATTTCTAAATTTTGTAAATCACCACCAAATCTGGGCTCCTTGCCTGGCAGCTTCCCATGAACAGGGGTCACCATGTCCTGAGCACCTCTGACTTGGCCTGGATTTCTTTAAAGTATTTCTTTCCTTTCTTAAGATGACTCGGCAAATGCAAAACCACTGAAACTATTTTAAGTGAATGTACTTAAGCTCTGACCTTGGGACACCTCAGACTTGGCCTCTTTTTGGGGAATATGAGGAAATTAAAACACAACTTCCACATCCAGTGCTTGTTCAAGAATAATCACTGGCAAATGCCTAGCTCCCATCTTAACTGCTAAAATATCCTGGGATAAAGTTCAAGACTAGAGAAAATAGATCAACAGCTACCATTTTACAATGACCTAATGATAGTATGTTGTGTTTTAATTTTCCAGGTATTAATGAGCCCAGGTTTGTGGGATGAGTCCGATCCTGTCAGGTTTATGTTTTCTTTGTCTCAATAGGTTTGTCAGGTCACGGGCAGCATAGAGCCTTGTGATTTCACCTAGGACTAGACTAGAGGAAAGGGGCTAAGATTTCAATTGCAGAAAATAATGTTGTACATCAGGAAAAACTGTAGGCAGTAAATAATGATTTACTTTGAAGTGGGTCTCCTAGCATAATTAGAACACTTTTTTTGAGGAACCAACTAGATATCCACCTTCTCTCTGAAAAGCCTTAAGACAGGCCTGCTTTAGGAATGGCAGGCAGGCAGATGATTGAGAAGAGATATGGCTGTCCCTTCCAGCTCTCTGGCTTGTCAAGAGGAAAAAGCACTTTAAACTATATCCTTCTTATAATTTGTTGCATATTGGGTTGGTGGACCCTCTTTAAGGGTCTTTAAGAATTGTTTACTGAGGGGCCCCTGGGTGGCTCAGTCAGTTAAGCGTCTGCCTTCAGCTCAGGTCATGATCCCAGGGTGCTGGGATCGAGCCCCGCATCGGGCTCCTTGCTTGGCGGGGAGCCTGCTTCTCCCTTTGCCTCTGCCTGTAGCTCCCCCTGCTTGTGCTTTTTCTTTCTCTCTGTCAAATAAATAAATAAAATCTTAAAAAAAAAAAAAAAAAAAAAGAATTGTTTACTGAATAAAGAAGAAATTACCCTAGCAACCTAACATTTTCCAAAATCTTAGCAGTCAAGACTCTGGGATATTGGCATGAGTTTTTATCTACTTAATATTTACATACTGGTTATCTCATAAGAATTATCCAAGTTATGAAGAAGTGAAAATCAAGCTTTAGCACAAAAAGTCTCTTCCAAACTCTTTTTGGGGCCACCTTACTCTCTTTCTATAAGATGATTCAAGAAACTTTCCATTTTGATTATTTGGGTCCCAAGGAAGCTCCCATTACCAATAGGGCTGTTGGGAGGCTCTGAAACAGCTGTATGTTTCCCCCTTGCAATCTTTCATGACATTAGCTTGGTTTCATTTTCCATTTGAGGGGGAAAAAATTATACCCAAACTGAAAATGAAGCAAACTGTGTGTTTAGCATCTGTAATTGTATCCTGAGGAAATTTATTGAGAGCTGCTTGAGAAAAAGCAGACCTCTGGGCTTCTGTGCTAACTGGCTCCTTGTTGGGGATAAAACCTGTTGTTTGAAATGCCTGATTGGTAGCATCAATTTGCTAACCCTGTGCATCTCATATATTGTTCTTTCTGTGGTTCACGTCTGACAGCTCTGGGAAGATGGTTCTGACTGTTGTACCTCTATGGTTTACAACTCTCTGAAAATAAGCAGTATTATATGAAGTAATCTAGCTACTTATATAAAGATTCCTTCCCCATGGGGTACCTGGGTGACTCAGTAGGTTGAGCGTCTGATTCTTAGTTTCGTTGGGCTCTGTGCTCAGTGCCCGGGTCTGCTTCAGATTCTCTCTCCCTCTCCCTCTCACCTACACTCTCTCTCTCTCAGATAAATAAATAAAATCTTTTAAAAATTAAATAAATAAATAAATAAAAATAAAAAATAAAGATTCCTTCTCCTAAATGGGAGATACAAACTTGTTGCTCAGTTACTTTAAACAGGCACATCATATTATCCCCTTGCTAGTCCCCTAGTTAATGAGTAGTAAACTTTGACACACTCTCAAAGTCAATGTGTCTAAGAAATTTTCCCCTAACCCATTTATTATTTCACTTATTGAATAAATATCTGTCATGTTATTTCCCTGCTGAAAACTTGTCAGTGACTACATACAGGATAAAAGTCCAAACTACTGAACTTGATCTTCTGAGGCCTTTATTATCTGGCCTCTGCCCATTTGTCAGTTGCATCTCTGTCTGCCCTGGGTATGAGGGCCACTGCAGACTAGCGAAACTGCTGAACTGCTGATCATTCTTGCACTTGGCTTGTTTTTGTTTTTGAAATATCTGTTTCTTTGAGCAAAAAGCTCAAAGAACTTGCAGAATTAGGGAGATAAGACAAGGCATAATGTGAATTTAGAAAACTCAACCAGGACACCTGGCTGGCTCAGTCGGTGGAGTATGTGACTCTTAGTCTCAGGGTTGTGAGTTCGAGCCCCACGTTGGGTGTAGAGATTACTTAAAAATAAAATCCTTAGAAAAAAAAAAAAGAAAACTCAACCAAATTTTAAGCAGGTATTTCCTAATACTTAAGATGGTAACTCCTTTTCCTTTTGTTGTCAGCTAATATCCATAATTGCACAGGAATAAAGGGTTAAAGGTTACCCCCAAAAATATCCTTAATGAAGTGTCCAAATTTGAAATACTTTTCTAAAAGATATAATAAATGTCCCTTCTTCCTTTGTCTAGATTTAATGTTTCTCTGGACTTCTCAAGAGCCTTGCTTTCTGCAACTCTTTCTTATTAATGGGCTAGAATTTGTAGAAGTTTTATGGGCTAGTTTATGAACTAGAGATTTCTCGTCTGATTTAGCTGTCACTGGTGGACTTATCTCTTTGTGTCCTGTTCATTCCCTTCACCCCTACCAGGGACGGGTTATGGCTCAGTCACTGTGGATCCCCTGGTGCCCTAATATTATGGCTGGTTTGGAGATGGAGGTGGGCAGGTGTAAGACAGATCGTAGCCCCAGGGAGTCAGTATATTTCAGCTTCCCAAATGCCACTCTGAACTCTCCATTTAGCTATCCACCCCTACTTAGTGCTACTCTTGAGTCTGTTGACTGCCTAGAAGCTACTGATGTTACTCTGGTTTTTATTAACAGCTTAAAAATGGACTTTAAACATGGAATGGAGGATTCTTTGGGACTTAATGGTTCACAGAATCCTACTCCTTGCCTGGCTTAGATTCTCTGCCTCGAGAAGAGCCTGACCTTGTAGCTTTCGTGGCTGCTTACCTGACCAGTTCTCAGGTGTTAATGCAACAGCTTAAATTCTAGGCCTACCTTGGATATCTAGCCCTTACCTAGCCAGCCCTACGTTGCCACTTTTGGTGAGACCCATAGCTTTGATCCCTGGGGGCAGAGAGGAGCCTACTTGACCCTGGCAGTACATGACAGACAACAGCTCAGAGCCTATTTCCCCAAAGTGTTGACCTTGGCTTGCCAAAGGGATTTCTTAGAGGTGAAAGAAGAATGAAATCCTACTTTCTTCACAGCTAAACATCCTAGGAAAGAGGGCTAATCTTCAGTGTCATTTTCATAGGACTTTTCAAGCCTGTTAACCTTCCTTTTTCTAAAATCTACATGGGACCTTTACATACAGACTCTTTTCTTGGAAAAAAGTGGCTGTCAAAATGGTGTTCACCCTCCTTCCACCTTTCCCATTTGTTCTTCCCAGCTATCCCATTCTTCCTCATCTTGTGCTCTCCAAAGTGGCTGGACCATTGAGGAATAAATACAAACCTCATAGCTCATGCTGTAACTGTGCTCTTAGTACAGGAATGTTCCTGTATGCTTCCTGTCCTAGCCCTAGCCACTATATTACAGTCCTTATCCCTCCACAAGCAGTAAGCCCTGTGTCCATCTTGTTTGTCTCCCCAGGATCTAGCACAGCAACTTGCACATGCCCACTGTAGATATTTGTTCCTGAATGAATAAATCAGGGTGTGAGTCTGAGTTCTAGCCTCCAATATATGTGTTCAGAGATCTTACACTTTGCCAAATTCTAATGACTGACCAGAGTACTCCAAACATAGCAGCCTTTTCTAATCCCTGCTCTGAGAAGACTGGTCTTGCTTTCCTTGTGTGCATGAGTCTGGATCTTCAGCCTGTTTTTGTGGTGGTTAAGAGACTCTGGAGTCAGATTGTCTGGTTCAAATCCTGGCCTTATCACCTACCAGTGATGTGATCTTAGGCAAGTTACCTATCCTGTCTGTCTCATTTTCCTTGTAAGTAAAATGAGGATAATGATAGTACCTACCTCACAGTGTTAACATATATGAAACATTTATAATATGCCTGCCTATGGTAATGTTTCCTATGGTGATGATGGTGCAATCTTCAGTTCTGTATCTAAGGAAGTTGTCATATAACCCCTGCCCCTTTTTTTTACACCATTTTCCATTCTAATATTTGCAGCTTTTTAGTGTAGGATGATCCATCTATCTTAGAACGAACACTGGTTTTGTTGTGATCCCAGCTTAGGTTTGTTTAACATAAAGAATTTGCTTTAAAACCCTTTTTTCCCCCTCTTCTTCTTTTCATAGAGTTTAATTTTCAAATAAATGTTTTTGCTTTGTTTTATTTTAAGGAAAAAAGGAAAGATGATAGATTTTTCACCATAAGCTTCTGGCCTGGCTTGTAGTGGAGCCTTCCTCCAAACAGTGCTCTCTCCCTTTGGCTTTCCTGTTAAGGTCTAGCTTTGACATCAGGAACAGCTCTGCCATTTAATCATGTGGTCTTGGGAAAAAATAGTTATCCTTTTAGAAGCTTGGTGTTCCTTTGTTTAATATCTACATCATAAGGTTATAATAAAGATTAAATGAAATAATGTATGCAGAATTTTAGCTCAATGCCCAGCATATGACAGGTGCTCAATAAATGGTGTTTTTTATTATCGTTGCTATTTTTATTAGAGATTGGGATTAGAGGTGGGATGACTATCCCTTGGAATTCTCCTGTAGGTTGTTTAAGACAAATGAAGTTTTTACCAAAGGGTGGGAATGAAAATCTTAGGGTTATTATGTTACTGATTATTTTTCTTTATCTGCTTTGCAAAGGTTTTAATTTTTCCTCCTCTGGAAGAGAAGATGTAGATGTGAGAACATTAGGAAATGGTAAGATTGCAATAGCATCACTTGACTAGAGCTAACTTTCAGACTATCACCCTTCTCAGACAACAGGTTCACTGTAGTCGCTTAGTTAAAACCAAGGTGGGCAGAGCCCAGAGCTTCTCCCAGTGAGGAAGCTTTGTGGATTATGGAGCTACCTTTATAAATTATATGATTATGTCTTAACAGGATTCATTTCTTAAGAGGCCATCCTTATTGCATACCTATAGGTTCTAAGGGACTTTTATGTGCATTAACAAGACAATGCCTGAGTTTTTCCAAAAGTTTGCTTATTAATTGTTCCATTTGATAACATTTCGGCAGTACCAGTATAGTTTTCAAAATGCACATCTTCATTTAAAAAGCAATTCTGCTCTCTTAGCCTCCATTTCTCTCATTTTACATTGTTGCATTACAAAAAAGATGATGAGAGTTAATCCTGAGCTTGAGCTTTATAGTCCCTTCCCTTTATGGAATCCTAGCTTTTCTGTTTCACTAGTGGATTTGGCTTAGGAGAATGGATTTCAGCCTGGTATACCTGGGCATTGCCATGTGTGATAACGTTACCTTAGTGTAACCAGGTCAATTAGCGGTTGTTTGGATTTTATTTTGTAATTAACACAGTCTTGTTCATGGACCTTTGGGAAAACAGTCATTTTCACATATTGCCTGTACTGGGGTTTAGCAGCCCCCCAAAAGCCCCTTGATTCTTTCACACATCCTTCCCTCTCCCAGATGTAGTCATGTCACTAAACTTTCAGTCCTCTAGAGCTCAACTCATTTTTTCACACCTCCTAACCCTCTTGCATTAGCCCAAATGTTAACTCCATCAACACGTTTCTGTTTCATGACGGGTGTGTGCTGCCAGGAAGGCCCTTTGCAATTGAGCTGGTGAATCCTCATAGAGTACATTTCACTTCACAAGAAATTAAGGAACTTCAGCAGGTAAACCACTTCATGACATGGAAATTGTCATGTTTCTGCAGCTCTATAACCGAACTAGAATTGCTAATTGTTTTTCCTTTTCTGCTACTACAGAAAATTAATAATTCATCTAACAAAATCCAAGTCCGTGACTTGCAGCTTGTCACAAGGTAAGGGTGGACTCCCTGGAGCTGATCTCAAAAGGGAAGTTTTGGTTGTAGATCATTTATCTGTTTTTTTTGTTTTGTTTTTTTGTTTGTTTTTTTTTAAGATTTTATTTATTTATTTGACAGAGAGAGAGACAGTGAGAGCAGGAACACAAGCAGGGGGAATGGGAGAGGGAGAAGCAGGCTTCTTGCCAAGCAGGGAGCCCGATGTGGGACTCGATCCCAGGACCCTGGGATCATGACCTGAGCCGAAGGCAGATGCTTAATGACTGAGCCACCCAGGCGCCCTAGATCATTTATCTGTTAAGGGAATTGTATCCAGAATATATAAAGAACTCTTACAGCTCAATAATAAGAAAACAACCCAATTAAAAATGAAGGAGATGATTAAGTGGACATTTCTCCGAAGAGGACATACAATTAATGAATGAATACATGAAAAAAATGCTCAGTATCATTTGCCATTGGGGAAGGACAAATCAAAACCTCAGTGATAGCTCACTGTACCCTCACTAGGATGGCTATAATCAAAAAGACAGAAAAAAACAAATGTTGGCAAAGATGTGGAGAAATCGGAACCCTCATATATTGCTGTGGGATTGTAAGCGTGGCCACTTTGAAAGACAGTTCGGCAGTTTCTCAGAAGGTTAAGCATAGAGTTACCATTATGACCCAGCAATACCACTTCTAGATATATACCCAAGAGAAATGAAAGTGTACATCCACACAAAGACTTCTACATGAATGTTCAAAGTAGCATTATTCATAATACCAAAAAAAGTAGAAACAACCCAAATGTCCACGGATAATATATGGTATCTCCATACAATGGAATATTATTCAGTAATAAAAAGGAAAAAAGTACTGACTGATATATGCTCCAACATGGATGAACCTTGAAAACATGAAGTGAAAGAAGCCAGAGACCACACACCACATATTGTATGATTCTATTTTATATGAAATATTCAGAGTAGGGAAATCTGTAGAGATAGAAAGTCAATTAATGGTGCCAAAGGCTGGGGGAACAGGGCATGGGAAGTGACTGCAAATAGGTATGGAGTTTCTTTCTTGGGATGATGAAGTATTCTAAAATTAGATTGTGGTCATAGCCACACAACTCTGTAAACATGCTAGAAATCACTGAATCGTACAATTAAAATGGGAATTGTATATAAATTTTATCTGAATAAAGCTATTTTTAAAGAAAGGGAAGTTTGGGGCAAGGCTTGTGTGTATTCTGTGTATTTAGATAAACTTGCTTTTATTGTTTTTGTTTAGAGAGGCAATAGGACATATGAAAGAAGGCGAAGAAGAAAAGACCAAGTCCTATAGTGCCTTAATATGGACAAATAAAGCCATACAGAAGAAAGACATTGAATTCCTAAATGGCATAAAGGTAGCTAAGTGCTCTAACTCTTTTTATTTTATTTTTCGATTGCCTATAAAAGAGTCCTTTCACTTTTAGTTTATTACTAGCAATTCATAGAGCATGGGCTTTGGGGAATGTGAGACCTGCTTTCAAATCCTGGCTTTGCCATTTGCTGGTTGAATGACTGGGCATTTCATCGAGCCTGTTTGAGAGACAGCATTGCTAGTGATGAAGAGCCTGCCTCTGGGCACAGGTTTCTTGGATGCAAATCCTGGATCTGCCTTTCATAGTTGTGTGACTTTGGACAAGTTGCTTATCCTCTTTATGCTTCAGTTTTTTCATCTATAAAATTAGTTAGAATAATGAAATGAGTTTAGTCATATCAAGCACTTAGAACAGTATCTGGCACATAGAAAACCTCAGCAATGCTATTATTACATTTGGCCATATGTAGAAAGGAAATACAAAATAGAATTGACCTAATAGGACTGATGCTAAGATTAAGTGCATAAATAAAACATATTATAAATTTTTAAGAAGGATAGTATATGTACAGCACAAATATTTTGGCACGTGCTGGATTTTCCTTCACATGAGCATATCACTGTAGAGGGTCTGCCTATTCATTTGCATATTTCTTCCCACCTGTCCCTCACTCTTCCTGTAACGATAATTTACTCTCAAATATAAGGAATGAGCATCAATGGGCACAGAGATGTGTACAGTCATCACAACATCATTTAAATGGGCAATATTTTGTAATAATTTAGATGACCTACAAGAGGAGAATGGCTTAATCTTACCATTTATCTGTATAATGAGCTATTGCTAGCCAGTTGTTAGAAATTATGTAGTAGGTGACTATTTATTAACAAAGGAAAATGTTCCTGATAGATGCTAAGGGGGATGAAACAAGCTATAAAGAGTATATAGAGGGGGATACATTGTGATTTAAACACACACACACAAGTGTGTGTTTGTGTATACACATATATATGACTACGTAGAAAACAAATTGTATGGCAAAAGATACCATAAATAGGATTTATACTTATGAAAAATAGACAAAGGATATGAATAAGCTGAAAACGAGCAACTCCAAATGGCCAAGAATCATCTGAATAGATGTTCCACTTCTGGATTGAAGTAACAATAAGACCTCACTTTAGTCCTCTGAGACTAGTAACACCTACTGGGTGGCATGGAGGAGAAAGCTAGTTGCATGCTTTGTCAGTAGAAATATAAAGTATTTAGCCTTTTTGGAAAACAATGTAATGATGACTGTAAAAATTAAAAATATACTGGTCTTCTACCCAACACTTTTACTACTGGTAATCTATCCGGAAGAAATAAAACTCCATTGCATAAGTATATGTGCACAAAGATGTTTACTTTATTCAAAGCGGCAAAATCAACAGCACAACTAGGAACAAAGTGAATTTCCTTCAAAAAGGAAAGGGAAGAACAAGCTGGTATCTTATAAAGCTATTTTAAAAAAAAAACTAAAACAGCATGTGATCCCATTTAATTTATGTTATTGTATGTATATATACCTAAAATTGTTGGAAAAAAGGATAGAGGTAGGCCTACAGCTATGACTTACAGAAATACCCATGACGTTATGAGAAAGAAAGTGAAGTGCAGAATCATGTTTATAGTATAAGTGTCTTGGTGAAAGCATAGGAGTAATTCACCGGCTTAGACAAGTTCATCTCTAACCCTGGGGGTGGACTAGATCACCCCCAGAGGGCCTCCAGGTTTCAGGTTCTGTGATTTTGTATCAAAAGCTATTGGCTTTTGGCCCATTATCTGGGGCTTTTAGGATGATAGTTTAACTCTAGACAGATATCTTTAAGGTTACAAAACAAAAAATTTTTTTAAAAGACTATTTATTTGACAGAGAGAGACACAGCAAGAGAGGGAACACAAGCAGGGGGAGTGGGAGAGGGAGAAGCAGGCTTCCCGCCAAGCAGGGGGCCTGATGCGGGGCTCAGTCTCAGGACCCTGAGATCATGACCTGAGCTGAAGGCAGACGCTTGACGACTGAGCCACCCAGGCGCCCCGCAAAACAAATTTCTAAACCTCTTTTCCATCAGGTGTACAAGTCATTCAGAATGCTGGGGGGAAAATTAACTCATTTTAAAAATAGATTCAGGGGCACCTGGATGGCTCAGTTGGTAGAGCATGTGACTCTTGATCTTGGGGTCATGAGGTCAAGCCCCACATTGGGTGTGGAGCCTACTTAAAAAAAAATAGATTTATCATCTGGAGGTAGCTATATTCAGAGCTAATTCAGAAATAATGCTGAATAATGCTGAAAGATGATTTTTGGAGGTACAGAGTAAGCAGTGAAAGGGTCTCTTTTAATGGTTCACAGCCCAAATAGACTGATGGGACTAGCTGACTTCTAATCATTTTTTGTGTTAGGTTAAGACTATTTTCAAATATTCCTATTGTCATCAAAAATACAAAAACTGAGTTACTGTCCCACTTTGAGAAACAGTCACTTCAAATTTACTACGTGTCTCTTCTTTTTTAAGGGCAACCTACTTCTAAGGAAAAAAAACCCTTTTGTGTATATGTATATGTGTTTCTGAAAATTCAGCAGAATGGGGCCAGCAGAGTGCATTGTTAGAGTAAATGGTTTCCTTTTGTCTACTGAAAGCAGGCAGACACAAAACACACACAGGAGTGTGTGGTGATCAAGCGTTATGTTGGAAGTCCAGTGGTGGGTCTACCAGCTCAGTTAGTACTTCCATTGACTAGTTCATGGTTTGCAGTCCTGGGAGTGAGTAGCAAGAAAGGAAACAGGGAGAAGAGCACTCCTTGGTCATTCATTTGAACCCAACTATTTCTGTATTCTACAGTGGAGGCCGTATCTGTACAGATTCCTTAACAGTTCAGCCTTGTCCTTTTTTTGTCTTTTTGGCCGGAGAAATGTCAAACCTTATGGAGACAGCCTATCTCAGCAGAACAAAGTGCTTCTAAAATCAAAGCATTAGCGAATCATAAAACCCATGAATTAGGAGGGGCCATTGACTCACTGCTATGATCAAAACAGTCACACCATTTCCAGTATAGTCTTTGTCAGAACTTGCTCTTTCTTTCTTGGTGGAGAACTTGATAGAGGGGAGACCAGACAGAAATCCTTCTCTTCTTAGCATGGCTTCAGGCACTCCCAAATCATGTAAATTATGAAGGAGTTGTTCCAACAAGAAATGGCAGAAGATTCAAAGTTCTTATGCACCTACATTTCTCGTTATGCCCAATATCTATTTTTAAAACTTGGAATTAGTTGACCTTCTACAATATTAATCTCTATTTCTTGATTTATATCTTGTGACAAAAGGAAATCTCTAATTATAAGAAAAACAAGCCCGTGCCCCTAAAAAAAATCTGAATTGTAAAAAAGGCATGCAGTATTATTATTCTCAAGTAATTTGAACTGGGCTTACAAATACTGAGAGGTCCTGGTTTATTGCACACACTTCTTTGTAATTATTATATTGAAACACTACCCTGAACAGTGATGCAACTGTTAATTTTCCAGATATATCTTTTCATACAACAACAAAATAACCTTGTATGTAGGTGTTTGGTTGTCCTTAAAACATGCACACTGCCCGTACACACCAGTGATGCTGAGGTCTCACCCTCTACAAATAGCCATTTCTCACCTCAGCTCTGTTAGGTCATCTGTTGGGTTGCCGGGGGGTGGGGGTGGGTGGGTAAGAATAGGTCTTCTAGAAGAGCTCTGTTAAAGTAAAGAACAGACTAGAACTCCAGGGTCCTGCTCAATTCAATTAATTGATTAAATATTAGAGCAAAAGAGACCTTGGGGATCATTTACTTCAAAGCCTTTTTTAAAAATGGCATACTGGGGCCCAGTAAGTGAGTAACTGTGGACGAGGTTATGAAAAGTTCCACAGAGCCTGAACCTTAGGGAATACAATTTATTATAGTATTAGTATCTACCCTGACAGTGATAGATGAGTCCTCCAAAGAAAACATCTGTGGTGGGCCATGGATGACAGAGGAGGTGTTGAGACAGGCTTCCTGCATAGCAAAGCTGACTCCATGGTTGTGTAACGCATCCTCCTCTAGGACTTAAAGATCGACCAGAAAACACCTCTGCGGGTCCTTCACCGGAGGCCCCTGGCTGTGAGAACTCGCATTATTCATTCCATGGAGACATGCTATGTGGATGAACATCATTTCCACCTCTATCTGAAGACTCAAGCTGGAACGTATCCTTTCGCCTTCCGCATAGCAATCCTCTAACCCTGTCGGAAGAGTTCACGCTGCCCTAGAAAATAGGTGCAACTTGATCCAGGAACAATTAGGGTAAGAATTAGGTTGGGGAAGAGTCCTTTTTTTGGCGGGGGGGGGGGGGGGGGAGGGAGGGTTCCCATCTAATTTGTATCTTTCAAAATGACATTTTAAACTGCGAGGCGGCAGCCGGTAGAGCATGAACTTTCAAATAGTGTGTCACACAATTCTGCCTACCTAGTAAGTACTCAGGAAACAGTTCTGATTGATTCATCTATTGATTTGTGTCTTTATACATTCTGCAAGGCACATTTTCATAACCACACTTGGGTTCTTTCAGCATTTTGAGCATTTGCCCCAAATCACTAAACACTGATAGTAGATGGGAGTGGCCCTACTTTCATACTGGTCTTCACTTTATTTGGCCACTGGCCCAAAACAAGAGAATAGTCCAAAAATGATCACTTGTTCATATGGTACCCTGTTTTGTGTGGTTTTGTATCCTTTCTGAGTTGTTAGTTAAAATACATCAGGGAGTTGCCAGAGTCCTAGCTCTAGTTTATTTTTCAAAAGTGCTCCTAATATTTGTTCGTTTCTTGGTTTTATATTATTTAGTGATCCAATAGCATGAAGTGGTAAGATACCTAATATAAAACTAATGATATATTTATGGGTATAAGGCAAAAAATGTCATTTTAATCCTCAAGTAGTATTCTCACCATGTTGCTGTAGTCTGTTTCTCCTTTTCCATCAACCTCCTCTCTCTTCCTCCCCAACCCCACACCACTCCACCCCATCCTATCCCAGAAGTGACCAGCATTTGCTAAGCTGAAATAGGTAGATGTTATTTACTCTTAAAATCTCTTATATTTTTAGTTCGGATCAAGGGATGACATGTTTAGACCACAGTGGGCAGACCTTTATAGCTTTGTTGTTTGGAATATATGTGCCTACTATAGATGGAATGTGGATGGAATTTCAAAGAAATCACAGATTTTTAAAAAATCTTTTTATCTAATTCCAGCTTTTATTTTAGAGTGCTAAGGTGAAATGCAGTGGTCTTTGAAGAAACTAATCTTTTCAATCTTATTAAAACATTCTTAGGACCAGGCATGTATATGTTACTTACGGCTTAGCCAAGAAAAACTGTCTGCTAAAACTTTAGATACCATGTGGTTATACACAGAAGTATGCGAATTTTTCACATATATTGCTCGGTATGTTGAACTAGTTCATTTGACGTACACCTCATCCTTCTGGATATGAATAAGAATTCTGGGCCTTTTAACTGGTTGTTCTGGGGCTTTTTGGTCATCTCCCCTCATCGTTGCTACTCAGAAGTAGCATTCTCGAAAGAAAAAGACAATTGTTGAGTAAGTATGAGTTCAGCAAAGAAGGCAGTTACTAGATACATGTCTTAAGCTTGAGTCAAAACATTTGGTGAAAGTAGAGTGAATACACTTTCAGAAAGTGAGGAGGACATAATATCAGCATATTCATGGTGTAAGTTTTTTATCATCTGAGAATAAACTTATTTTTCCTATTCAAATTATATTAAATTTTTATACTAAGTGCCAGTTTATAGAACACAGCATAATGCTGAATGAGTTTTTACTGAATGCTAGCAAAATTATGTCTCTCAGATAACTGTTTTCAAGGCTGTAGTAGAGTCCTGTGTAAGGAAAGTTAATGTAATCTTAGTAAGTAATTCTAGGATTGGCCATTGACATCAAAATTTGAAGACCTTATGAAGGAAACATGAAATCGCCCCTTTCAAAAGACTTAATTCTCTTGCTAACCATGTAAAAGTTGCAAACAGCTAAAACTTGGGTCCTTTGATAATCCTTCTGAAGAGCTTTTATCAGCGACTAAATTAATATATTTTTTAAAGATTTTATGTATTTATTTGACAGAGAGAGAGAGAGGCAGCGAGAGAGGGAACACAAACAGGGGGAGTGGGGGAGGGAGAAGCAGACTCCCCGCCAAACAGGGAGCCCGACGTGGGGCTCGACCCCAGGACCCTGAGTTCATGACCTGAGCTGAAGGCAGACGCTTAACGACTGAGCCACCCAGGTGCCCCTAAATTAATATTTTCATTGTCCCTCCCATCCTACTGCTATTGTGTCACTGGGTCACATTACCAGGAAAGCCATCATCGTGTGACCCTGTGGAAACCTATCTTCTGGCAGATGTTAGCTGCCATCATTGAAAAATGGGACGAAAAAGATGACAAAATGGAATTTGTGGCAAAGAAAAAATAGCGAAGGTTGTTTTGTTTTGTTTTGGTTAGCACTGAAGTACAGTTCATTTTAAAAATCCATACCCAGGGTCGCCTGGTTGGTTCAGGCAGTAGAGCGTGGGACTTTTGATCTCGGGTTGTGGGTTTGAGCCCCACGTTGGATGTAGAGATTACTTAAAAATTTTAAAAAAGATCTTTTTTATTTCAATTTTTTATTTAAATTCTAGTTAGTTAAAAATCTTAAAAAAAAAATTAAAAAAAAAAAATCCATATCCAAACCTTGGCACTTGGAGATGAGCTACAGAAAAAAAAAAGTCATGACTTTTGGGAAGTTTGATGTAAACACAGGTGCCAAATCCTGCTGTTAGGTGCCAGGCTGGTAGGAACCAGTTTGCCAAAGCTTATTTTCTAAGATACACATCATGGGTCACAGCTCAGAAATAACCTCTCCCTTGTAACATTTCTGCTTTTGTCTGTCGTTTCCCTTTCACCTATCAAATCTCACCAAACAGTGCTGCATAGCTATCTCCATTGTTTCCTTAAACAAACCCCAGCTACATTAAAGAGTTTGTGCATGGAGACTTTGGGAGAACCAAGCCAAACATTGGCTCTCTAATGAATGTGACTGCAGACATTCTTGAGCTGGATGTTGAGGTAAACCATTTTATTGTGGAAGTACCCATTTGTACATTGAATTCAGCCAAGGTTATGCTTTTGGCGGGGGGTGGGGGGTTGGGGGGGTGGGCATTAAGTCAAATAGGTATCTATCTCTACTCACCTTAACAGGTATTTGAAAATGGTCAAAATCTCACAGTAGCATTGTATTGCAGGGAGGGACTGTCCTTGGAATTTTTATCTTCTTAAAAAATACAAGATCTCATTTATGATCCTTGCAAATATATAGCTAATTTACATGGGGCGTGAGGTCTTAAACCCTTAAATGGAGCAAGGAAATGAAACTTAAGAGCCCTTCATATGTCCTTTGGACTCTACAGAGTTCATTCCCATACCTATTTTGTTTTATAAAAAATTTAAGGCAGACTACTCAGAAACATACATTCAGGACAGGTATAGAAAATGGGATGAGCCAGTGGTTATTAATAAAAGCAGTTGTATAAGGGACCCCTATGATGTGGTACAAATTTTCTGCTCTTAGAGTCTGAATTGAAACAAGGTTAAATTCTTAAGTATTTATAAGAGTGGATTGAATAGGTCCTTCGGCAGTTCTCCATAAATATATTTTCTCATTTGAGCATCAAAAAGGTACTGAGTCACAACTGTGCTCCTTGACAAATACCTGATGAAGGATGGGGTCCCTCTCCCGTACCTCCCTACCAGCCAAAAACAATATTAGGAGACTAGCATTTTGCACTTGGGATTAATATCAGTTATCAAAAGAAGTGCGTATAGTTGCCTCGTGTGCAGACAGCTATGGTAATCACATATCACTGGAGCATTATCAGCTTACCGGCGATTCTCTTGAGTGCTTCCAGCAAGATTTTATAGAGCTCCTGCAGTACGGCCACCGACAGCACTTCCAAGGTTGCAGGGAGCCTTCTCAGAGGGACTGTTATTTTGAGGAAGACAACCTTGTGTTAAAGAAAATCTCACCTGCATTCATCTTCTTTGATCTTAATTCTCAGAACAACTTAGGAATGTCAAGAGTCATGGGCCAATGTTCCTCATCCCTGTTTGTCCATCGGGAATCACCTGTAGGGCTTTTTAAACCTCCCCTGCTTTCAACACATACAAGACTATGTGACCTGCAATGTTTAGTTTTCAGGCATGAGAAACAACCCATTAGCTTATATATGGGTGTTCAGTATGTGGCCATGTTCTGAAATAGAACCAAAATATCTTCTTGGGATTTCTAAAAGATACACATGTACACACACAATAGTTATTTGGGCTTTTCTAATAAAATTTTTCTGATTCTGGCAGTGACTCATAGATTAATTTAAAAAATCACTTGTGGGTAAAGCATTTTGGGTTTTAAAATTTAAGTCTCAAAAAAACCCGTAACAAGACATGGGCACAGTGGACTTTTTTAAACTTCTCAAATTAGGCCCTTGAGGGTAGTTAAACTACTTCTAAAGCCTAGGACATGATTGTTTTATATGGAGAAAAAAAATAGTCTGCTACTGTAATTTCATTATGACTTAAATCAAGGTTTTGTTCTAGAAGAGCCAAACCAAGTGAGTAGAGATAAACTGATTTTAAAAGAAACAAAAATTCTGAAATGATACACAATGATCATTTATCCTTTTCTAGTTCTTTCATACTCATTTATTTCTCATTTGGTTGCTAAGCTACAAATAACACCATAAGTGAATAGACTACTTGAGTGCTTGTTAAATGCAAGATGGGAAAATGAAAATGATCTGAAGAATAAAAGTTGCTGAGACTTCTGAGGGAAAGTTGGTGTTGCTCCCTGAATTTCTTTCTTTACCTATAAATAACATTTACAAAATTTAGATGTACTCTAGTCTCCTATTGGCCAAAGGTACAATTAATTTAACCAGCTGAGTAACCAAATACTCTGTGAATTCAGAAACAGACCTTGGGCCCAAGAATCTCAAGACCTAGTTATGGATTTTAGAGTGTTGAATTGTGGTATTCAATGACTTTTCTTCAAATGAAGCTTTTTCTGCCTTATATTAAAACTATTAAGTTTATGCAGCATTACCAGCAAATGCTTACTGGAACAGTAATATGTTTTCATGTCTTGTTTTCTTCCTTCTAGTCTGTAGATGTTGACTGGCCCCCTGCTCTGGATGACTAGCTTTCAAATTTGGACACACAGAGTAGGGTTTTCGTGGCATGATGTGGACCTCCATTCAGCATACACTGTATAATGGCTGTTAACTCACCATTACAGTGTCTTGGAAACCATTTGGATCATGTTGATCTATGTATTTTAAAATTTGTTGTAACATCTCAGGATCTATGTATGTGTATATTTTGTGTTAAATGTTCTAAGGATGTCTTACGATTTTTCTTGTTCCCTCTCCAACCCCTACATGCCAGACTATGAATAATGAAAACATTCTCTTAATTCTTTCATTTAGAGAAGTACACAAACAGGATACGTTCTCTGATAATCTGAGAAGCTATAATTTCTTTTAGCAAAATTTCCCTCCACAAGACATACCACCTTCAAAATCATGTTCTAAATTTTAAAAATGATCTTGATAAAAGTTATATCTAGATTTATACAGCACAGTATCCTATAATATTCTAAGATATCAAATGCAAATCTAACATCATTAATATTTTTCCCAGTAAGCTTTAATCAAGCTATTACCCACAGAAGTACTTTTTGTATAATCTGTCACAAATCTTAATGACTTCAAGTTACTATTTTGACGACTTAAAAATATCAGTATGTTTCCTGGGGAGGGAAAGTGAAACCTTAGGAATTGAGGCATACCCTGTTAAGAGACTTCCATAAATCTTTTAAATAAGGAGACACAAGTGCCTTCAGTAACTTCAAACCCAGGGATAAGATTTTGAAAAATTAAGATTGCTAAACAATCTGCTATTATACCAGAGTGCTTCAATATATTATCCAATTTCAAACATCTTCATCAAGTGGATAGGGTATTATCATTTCCATTTTATAAATATGAAACCAAAGAATGAAAGTTAAATGATTTATCTAAAATTTTACTTCCATATCAGGGGCTAAAACTGAAGTTTCCTGGTCTCTAGGGTCCTTTTTTAATAACTCTTGTTATTGAGCACCCACTGTGTGAAGGAGGCACCTGAGAATGTCATTTGAATGCACTAACCCAAAAATAGTAATAATTAAAATAAACAAATGCACTAACCATCAGAAATGACTTTTGGAATTTAGAAACCAAATCAAGGAGCTTGCCAAAAAATAGCCCAAGTATATTTCATATGATCTTACATGATTACCACTTGTTAATAAATTAATCATCAGTTGGTACTATGAAGAAGGAAAAATGAAATAAGCTAAACCTAAAGAAAATAGATGGGTCATTAAGAGAAACGTTTCAGCAATCTCATTAAAATTTCAGATTTAAGTAGTAATTTCTATCACCCTGATTCAACTATCTGAGAGCTTATTTTAGAACACATGTGACTTGGATAGTATTGGATGATTGTTTCCCATCTCTTCATTAAGCATACTTCATAGATACCAAGATGTATTATTCATTTTAGAAATCAGGAAAATTATTTAATTGACATGAAGAAGTTTCATATGTGAATACTAGCAAATAATTGTTTCACTATTTTCAATGCCAGAAAATAAGAAAGGGATAATAGAAATAAACTTCTGATAAACAGGTAAGAACTTTTGTGTGAATGTTTCTCTGTTTCTGGGGAAGTTTTGCTACAAAAAAAGATTTAAATAATTTGGGAGATAGTCTTTTGCATGTTTCTTTTTAGCACAGCTTTGAATTTAGTGGAATCTGCAAAATGGAAAAATTAAGAACCTCCTTAATAGAAGATTTCTATTTCTTAAATTTCTATTCCTGACATTATGCAAAATTTCAAGCAAAAAGTAAACATTAGCTGTATATACTTTACTTATTCCATATGTTCATATATTATGAGACACAGGTTGTTAAAAATCAGTGGAGGTCTGTTTCATGCAAGAACTGGGAACATTAAGTAATGTAATATAGTGTAATATTGGTTTCAGGAGTAGAATTTAGTGATTCATCACTTAACAAAAAACACCCAGTGCTCATCATAACAATTGCCCTCCTTAATATCCATTCATAGCTTTTTTTTCCAAAATTTTATTTAAATTCTAGTTAAATCTTTAATAACACTTAGAGAAAGGGCCCTTTTTTACTTCTTAGTATTTCTTTGTCCCAAATATAGTCTGTTATTTAGTTTAGGAAAAACATCAACTCAACTCTGAATACCTGGAAAAGTTAGAAATAAGGAAAGGATGGAGAGGAAGGAAGGGAAGAATTTACCAAATAAGCAAGTAAGATAACTGGTTACATTAACAAGTTATATGAAATAAACTTAGAAGTTAAATTTCCATTTCTAAAAAGAAAAACATCTTACTTAGGCTGATCTTTTCTTTTGAAGCTTTATTATTGATTTTTAAGCCCATATAAAAGAATGAACTTTGATGCAAAGTTTTCTGATTTTTAAAACTGGTGCCCTTTTGGTGCCTGGGTGGCTTAGGTAAATGTCTGACTTTTGATCTCAGCTCAGGTCTTGATCTCAGGGTAGAGTTCAAGCCCCATTTTTTTTTTTAATGGTACTTTTTTTATTATGGAAAATACTGTTTTTATGATATTCATTTAATTTTTTTCATCTTGAAATAATTTCAAACTGGGCGCCTGGGTGGCTCAGTTGGTTAAGCGACTGCCTTCGGCTCAGGTCATGATCCTGGAGTCCCGGGATCGAGTCCCACGTCGGGCTCCCTGCTCATCAGGGAGTCTGCCTCTCTCTCTGACCCTCCCCCCTCTCATGCTCTATCTCATTCTCTCTCTCAAATAAATAAATAAAATCTTTAAAAAAAAAAAGAAAAAGAAATAATTTCAAACTTACAGGAAAGTTGCAAGAAGTACAAAGGACCTCCACTCCCCCAAACCATTGAGCCAGTGATGTTCCATCACCCTGAATACTTCAGTGTATAATTTCTACAAACAAGGACATTCTTCCACTTCGCCACAATAGAACTATCAATTCAGGAAGTTAACATGGATATTACAACCATGTAATCCACAGAGCCCACTCAAGTCTCACCAGCTGTCCCAATAGGTACTTCCATAGGCAGGGGATCACCCTTTGCACATAACTGTTATGTCTCTGCAGTCTCCACCAATCTGAAATAGTTCATCTTTCCTTGGCTTTCATTATTTTAACATTTTTGAAGGTTTCAGGTCAGTTATTTTGTAGATTGCTCTTCAATTTGGGTTTGCCTGGTATTTCCTTATTATTAGATTCAGGCTGTACCTTTCTAGCAAGAATACCACGTGAGAGATACTAACTTCTTGCATCTTATCAGGTGTCATACAATTTTGATTTGTGCAGTTACTGACGACTGGATTTTAATCAGTTAATGAAGGTTGTGTCTGCCAAGGTCCTCTACTTTTATTCTTTTTCCCTTTAATTAATACGTATCTTGTAAGGAGACCATCAAACATTCATCCACTAGTTTTAGCATTTACTGAAGATTTGTCAAAAACTGATCTAATTCCACCATTTCTTTTACATTTGTCGGTTAGCATTCCACTGAAAGGTAGAACTTTCCCTTCTTGTGGATTTGTGGGTTCCTATTTTGTTCGATAGGTTATAATTTGTTACTAACAAATGCAAACGCATGCACACACACGCACACACACACACAGTATGTTTCTTTACATATATTGAAAATAGGGAGTTGTATACCAGTACTTCCAATTCCAACCTTATTCTAGTTTTCTCCCTTTTTTATTTGTAATACCTTTCTCTGACAAAATCTGGCTCCCATTAGCCTTAATATATTTACTTGTAGATCAGTCCCCCTCATAAAAACCTCTTGCTGCATCCTTATTCCAGATCCCTGAGAGTCCCCTCCATACTACTACCCCCAAATGTTCTCCTCAGGCTTCACCCTGTATCCCACACTGGGCCCCACCTTCGCCCCTGTGGCAGTACCTACCTCAGAATAAGCTCAGAATAAGCGAATGACATTTGTCCTGAATTATCAGGAAGGGAGACAGGCAGGAAATAAATCAGGAAGGCAGAAAATGAAAATCTTTTAAAAATGCATTTTAGTACTCTACAAAAATTATAATTTCAAAGGACAGTTACATATTCAGGTATATTCAGCTATAGCTTTACAAAAAATGCATGTTTCTAAGCAACCAAACTACCTTTCCCAAGGAGGATGCTATAAATAACAAAATCTCACCAGTATTTTTAAAGTCAAATCACAACAAAATTTTAAGAATTTTAGTTTTTCCATTTATTATATTACCACACAAAAAAATCACTGTATACAAAGATATTACAAAGGTAATAAAATATTATGTACAACAAAAAGGATTTTGACACTTTACAAATGATTGCATCCTTTTAACACATTTAACATTAAATAATTTGAGAACTTTAAAAAAACTCCTTTCAGTACCTCTAAATTTATTACAGTTACTAAGAAGCATATAAAAATATGTAGCACACCATGAGAGATGATGGACTCTGAAAAACAAACAGGGTTCTGGAGGGGAGGGGGTGGGAGGATGGGTTAGCCTGGTGGTGGGTATTGAGGAGGGCACATTCTGAATGGAGCACTGGGTGTTATGCACAAACAATGAATCATGGAACACTTCATCTAAAACTAATTATGTAATGTATGGGGATTAACATAAGAATAAAAAAAAGTCAATGAATATCAAAAAAAATAAAAATAAAAAAATAAATAAATACCAGAAATTTTGCCAAAAAAAAAAAAAATATGTAGCACAGTAAAAAAACAGGATAGTGCCATTCTGTAGGGTTCTGAATTCATCAGTTAGCAGTATTTTTCAGTACATTCTTTTAAAACATAAAGTCATCTCTGAAGGATTCATCTGGTCTGAACCATGACCCCAGTGAAGCCTCCTGAGAGACTTCTAGACACAGATCCCCAAATACTCCATCTTACCTATTTCTTACTACATTTTAAGCAAAGCTATACTGTTTTGATTAGATAATAAAGAAGAAAAATAGGTAAGATGTTTATTTTTATCAAAAACTTTTTTTTATTTACTCTGCTGATATCCCTGAAAACTCGATTTACTGAAGCACCAACATTTACTAATTATTGTGTATTACTACTCACACATAGGTGTTTAATGAAAATTTTAAAATTCTTTACATTTTTGAAAAGTCCAGTAGTACACTGAAGTTTTGGAAACAAGTGATAAGTGACAAATGATAAATTCCACCCTCTTTAAATAGGTCATTACTAGCAGGTGGTATTTTTTCCTAAAGCCATAGACATTTAAAATAGAAAAATACTTAGAAAATCTTTAGAAGAAATAATTGTTTAAACACTTCGTCTGTGTTTTATTAGTGATGGCAGTGGGGACACAATGGGGGCTTTTTGATCTCTACTTTTGTATGCATGAGAAAAGTTATAATTACTTTTGAGATTCAGTCTTATTCACCGATTTTAAGTTTGTGCTTTAAATTCTAAGATGTATTAAACTATTAATTTGACTGAGTCTTAGACAATTGGATATAGACAAACCATACATTTATCTCTGATTAGTTGCCCACTCCTGGCCTTACAATGTTAAATAGCATGATATTTTTTATTCTATGTGATACCAAAAGCATCCTAATTTTGCCCCTTTCATACTTAACCCCTGAAAACTAAACAGATCAGAAATCCTTCAGTGGCAACTTCATTAGCTATGATGAGGTTCCCTTTTAGGAAGACAGTCTTACTACCAATTCATAATCAACTTTGGCAAAGAAATTAAGGGTCCTAGGACTTCAGAACTGAAGTCATTAAACGACCTTATCTTTGCTATATAATAGAAACTGGTTCTGAAAAGAGTAAGGCCAAAAGAAGGGCCTTCAGATCTGGGCAAAACAGACAGCCACTCTAAAGAGAAACCCATCTCAGGGTTCTTACTAAAGAATCTAATCCATAGCGATTTTTCTCACTCTGCCATGTATCAGAAGGAGTTTCTGGGCTTAGAGATTAATCAGGGCCACAGGATTACACACATATTTATTAATATTTGATTAGCACTATACTATTTACAGTTTCTTATGCATCATTTTATTTAATACAACACATCTTGTGAGGTAGGTAAGCAGGGTATTATCTGCATTTTGTATCTGAAGAGAGGCCCACAAAAGGCATGGTTTGTTACATATTACATAACGAGTATGTGGCAGAGCTGAAGATTCAACCCAGATGTCCTGACAAAAAAAAATCCCTATTCTTGGGCGCCTGGGTGGCTCAGTCGGTTAAGCGTCTGCCTTTGGCTCAGGTCATGATCTCAGGGTTCTGAGATCGAGCCCCGCATTGGGCTCCCTGCTCAGCGGGAAACCTCCTTATCCCTCTCCCTTCCTGCCGCTCCCCCAGCTTGTGCTCTCTCTCTGCCAAATAAGTAAATAAAAATCTTAAAAAAAAAAAAAAAAAAAAAAACTCTATTCTTTCCATTTCTCCATGCTATTTAACATCACATGGCAATTTCTTTAATCCCCTAGTATATCAATGTATGATATAACAAATTATTTGGTGGTACTGGGCAGCCTGGATCACCAATTCCAAGCCTCTCTTAACATGGACAGTCTCATTTTTTTTTTCCTGAAACATTAGGTTAAAAACTGACAGCCCAGCTGTTAGAGAAACCCAGTTACCAATTTAAAAGACCATTATGATAGCAGGTTCTGATGACAGAAATCAGAATAGTAGTTTTGAGGAGTAAGTAGATTGGCAAGGGCATAAAGAACAGAGGCAGAGTGGACAACATGGCAAAGGCATGAAGGCCTGGCAGCCTGAGAGAGATTTTAAGCAATGCCAGCTTGTTGCAGGGTTTAAGGATAATGTGGTATTATTTCTAACCAGAGCATATTGAAGATTCTTGTGGGGGAAAAGGAATGAAGGCCTATACTAAGGAAGCACTAGGAATGAAGGAGGGACTAATGCAAGACATTTTTATGAGGCAGAATTTAAAAGACTTGATAACTAAGGACAGTAAAGGAGAAAAGGAATAAAACATGATTCAACGTTCCAATTAATATCTGGTGTGGCAGGGTAAATGGTAATGCCATTAATGAAAGTAGAGAATGCAAAAGGGGGAGGCAGTTTATAAAGGCATTTGGGTAGCGTGAGAGAAAGCTGAAACTGGGCACTGATGAGGTTACCCAGGGAAAAAAAATAGCACCAAATGAGGGCTGGGGTTGAGATTCTAGAAAAAAGTCAACCTCAGAGAGGAATCTTATCTACCACAGAAAGCTTGGAGGAGTATCCAAGAAGGGAGTAGCCAATAGGAAAGAAGGTTATGGATAGGTCAGGCAGAGTAAGGACTGATAAAAAGACACTAGATTTGACAAGTCTCTGGTCACTTTTCCTAGAATATCATAAGAAAACAGAGGGAGCACCTGGGTGGCTCAGTCAGTTAAATGTCTGACTCTTGATTTCGGCTCAGGTCATGATCTCAGGGTCGTGAGATGAACCCTGGGTCGGGCTCTGCACTGGGCATTATTATCACCATTAATATTCTCTCTCTCCCTCTCTCTCTCCGCTCTTCCTCCCACCCTCGAGAGTACACATGCCTACCACCTGCCCCCGTGCCTCTCTCTCTCAAAAAAAAGAAAAAAGAATGCAGCCTGCTTAATATTCTCTCTCTCTCCCTCTCTCTCTCCGCTCTTCCTCCCACCCTCGAGAGTACACATGCCTACCACCCGCCCCCATGCCTCTCTCTCTCAAAAAAAAGAAAACAGTAGGAGGTGAAAGATTAATAAGCCAAAGAATGACTGGGAGCTGAGGAAATTGAAGCTGAAAGCATTTCCTGAGTCTGGATGTGAAGGAAGGAACATGAAGGTAGTAGGAAAGATTGTTGTTTCCCTTTTTTTAAGGCTAGAGAAGACGTTTATCACAGTTATACAAAGAAAACCACCACTAAATGGTGATGTGAGGATACAGAAACAAGATGTGAGAGAGAGCAGGGCCCAGGGTGCGAGTAGAGTATAGAAAGGCAGAGCGGCACTTTTTCCTTGGAAACTGTGAAAACGTAAATATATTTAGAGATAGATGAGAAATAGGTTGCCATATTCTTTTTATGTTATAAAATAAATTCTATGATCAGTAAGTAGTACCTGAAAAATGAAAAAATCCATTGGAAATACTCTAAACACAGATGTAGCAGTACCTTAATTCAGCTTACATGGGGAAGGGCTGGACAAAACAACCCTGGAAGACAAGTCAGTTGCTTATTTAATGAACAAAAATCCAGTTAGATATTCTAACAGTCTGTGTTTAAGCTGGCCAGTGCTAATTAATACAAAATTATAGGATTCTGTATTTTTTTAAAAAAAGCTCACCACCTATCAACCACTATCTGGAGATATCCTGGGTTCATTCATATTTTGAAAAGAAAAGAAATGATGCCTTCCACATTTTTTATTCTCCCTGGTAAGTTCTTCTAAAGTATGTTATATGCTTATGGTTTTTTTGTTGTTTTTTTTTTTAAGATTTTATTTATTTAACAGAGAGAGACACAGCGAGAGAGGGAACACAAGCAGGGGAAGTGGGAGAGGGAGAAGCAGGCTTTCCACTGAGCAGGGAGCCCAATGTGGGGCTCGATCCCAGGACCTTGAGATCATGACCTGAGCCGAAGGCAGACGCTTAACGACTGAGCCACCCAGGCGCCCTATGCTTACGGGTTTTAAAATTATATAACAAATGTTTCATTTTTAAATAATAATTTCTGAGAAGTATTAATGGTACTTAGGTGTTTTTAATCTTTTTCTTCTTCTGCTTCCTAGACTATCCTAACCCCAAGTCTTATCTTGCTCTCCTTCCCATTTCCCAGTATCATTCAACTCAGAATTTTTATTTACATGATATTCATACATTTCCCATTTTGATTGTTCCAGTAAACTTACTGGTTTGGTTGGACACTGTGTAAATGAAATGACACACTGTTTCTAGCTCAGAACATGCTTAACATTTATGGCAGGTTCTATGTGTAAAACAGAGTAAGTCTTCAGTAAGTCAGTTACTTAGCATCATGACAATTCCATCACAACTAAGATTACTGCCTAAATTCTACCATCATTTTGCCGCTGGGATTACTTTGCTTTCAGATGGTTTGGATTACCATTATTAATCCTTTGACCTGAAGGTGCATGATTCTGACATAAACCCAATGTCACATTATAAAAATCATAAACATCTAATTAAAGCTGTTCTTTCTTTCAAAAAAAAGTTCTACTAGTAGTACTTTGAACATTCAATAAATATTTACCAAATGCTTAATAATGAGGCAGACCCTCTTCTACAAACTGAGGATTCAACAAACAAAACACAGAAATTTTTACCTTTGTGAAGCTTATATTCCAGTATAGGGGAAAAAATAAAAGTAAAAAATAAATGCTTAGTAAAGGTCAGATCCTGGTAAGTGCTATGGACCAACAGAAAGGAAAGAGGACATGGAGTGCTGATGTGTATAGACTTGAGGAAGGCCTTGATCAGTGACAGTTGAGTGAATCTGAAGGATGTTAAGAAGTGAGCTATGCATGTATCTGAGAGAAAAATAGTCAAGGCAGAGGGGACACCAAGTACAAAGAGTCTGAGGCACGGATATACTTGGTGTTTTGAAGAGAGACTATGAGGGCAGAGTGCCTGGAGCTGAATGAGGAGAAGAAAACAGTAAGAGATGAAATAGGAGATGAAGTATGAGCCTGCCAATTTTAAGGACTTTGGTCTTTTTTTTTTTTTTAAGATTTTATTTATTTATTTGAGACAGAGAGAATGAGAGAGACAGAGAGCACATGAGAGGGGGGAGGGTCAGAGGGAGAAGCAGGCTCCCTGCCAAGCAGGGAGCCCGATGCGGGACTTGATCCCGGGACTCCAGGATCATGACCTGAGCCGAAAGCAGTCGCTTAACCAACTGAGCCACCCAGACGCCCAGGACTTTGGTCTTTACTCTGAGTAGGAATGGGGAGCCACTGGATGGTTTTGAGCAGATGAATGATACAATCTGACTTGTTTTAAAAATAATCATTCTGGCTACTTTGGAGAGAAGAGACTATAGGGCACAAGGAGGAAGATCAAGAACTCAGTTTTGGATATGTTGAGTCTGAGCTGGATTTTTGTTCATTAATTAGGTTTCTAAGTAGAGATTTCAAATAAGTAGTTTTACATACATGCGTAAGCTCCAAGTATGGAGGTCAGAGGCTAGGTCTAAGCTAGGGATAAAATTTACGAACAAAGAGCACAAAATTGGACGAGATCACAGTGAGTGAGGAAACACAAGAAAGAAGACAGGCCTACGGAAACTTCTTCACCTTAAAGACATGGGTGTAAAGCTAAACTCACAAGCGATTTAAAGGTAGCTATTTAAAATGGTCCAAAATGTAGAGAACTTCCCCTTCCTTGAAAGCTCACTTCACTCTCTTCTGTCCAAGTTAGATTTTTTTTTTAAAGACTTTATTTATTTGAGAGAGAGAGCATGCAGGTGCACACGAGTAGGGGTGGGGAAGGGAGAGGGAGAGGCAGACTCCCTGCTGGGCAGGGAGCCTGATGCAGCCGGATCCCACGGTCCCTGGGATCATGACCTGAGCCAAAGGCAGACACTTCACTGGCTGAGCCACCCAGGCATCCCCTGCCAAGTTAGACTCTTAAAGATTTTTGACTTATATATAAATCTAAGAAACTCCAAAAAGCCTCAGAAAACCCCTTAGGGGTCACCTTGGCCTATGGGTCTCAAAAATAATAAGGAAATCATTTTTCTAATGACACAGTCATTACAGGTTTTACCTTAAATTTGCTTAAAAGCAAATATCAGTTAATTCATTTAACTAAGAATACATTAATACAATATAAAAGAAGTATAAAAAAGTGTATTTTGAAGAACTGGAGCCTTGCTCTCATTTTCTCCTCATTCTGTACTGGGAAAATGGGGTAGGACTCTAAAGACAGAAATTCCATGGCACACAGTTATCGGGTCACATGTTTCAAAAAGAAGAAACAGTTTTTAAATTTCTATTTCAGAATTTCCCCTATATGATACTTTCCAGCTTTGAATTCAATATACCCAAACAACCATTTAAGTTTTACAAGTTACCTTGAAAAAAATCAAATGCAAATGAGTCACCTAATTGCTCATTCTGCATAGCGCCAATACTAGAATACTGACTATGAACAAAACCATGACTGTTTGGATTAGTACCGTTTGATGGTCCTGCCTCATTCATCATACTGTTATCTGTGCAGTTGAAGTCAGATCTCTCAAATGCCTCCGGCTGTGGAACAAACGCAGCCGTACTGGAGCCAGCGGCTGCCGGCATGCTGGGAGAGGACATCTGATGGAGCCGTCTCAAGTCTCTCGGGTCTAACACTGAATTACATGAAGGGTTTTCGAGATTCATGCTCACAAGTCTCGGATTATCAGTCTCCCTCATGCTGTCATTACTAGGTGTTATCATATTCATAGGGCAATTCGGCAGCATGTTGCCATCAGAAATACCATATAAATCAGCTGGTGACATGGATGGTGCTTCCATTCTGCCTATGTCATTCGAATTGTTATAAATACAAGCATTAGAGGCATTCAAATCACGCTCAAGAGGCATTTCCAGATATGGCGAGATACCTTGTGGATTAGAGGAAAGTGTCCCTGTTGAAAAATCACTCAGTGGATTCGTACTGACTGTGCGCGGGGTGGGGTGGGCCCCTGACGACCAACTGGAAGAAGCCTGAGACACCATGGAAGGTATGGGTGAAGTATGATGTGACAGTGCATTTGAGATGGACACAGGTGAGGAATAGTAGGAATCTGCTTGACTTGAAACACCGGAAGTCCTGGGCATTTCTGTCAAAACTGCACCATGAGAAAAGTCTGATTCTGTGGAGAGGAAAATGTATTTTTATAAGCTGAAATAAAAGTATAAAAAACATTATCTCTAAATTAAACTTGCATAAACACACTAATAAAAAAAATTTCCAAGCAAACTGATGTAACGTTTTAGAGAAAAATATTAAATAGCACCAAAATTATTATAAGAGTCCAAAAAGCTAAATTCTGTAACACTTACTGTTTTACAAATACCTATAAAATAATTTTGGTAAGTTATTTTGGCATAGATAGCTTCATTCCAGTTAAATATTTAGCTTCTGAGGCTCTATAAAGTGAAAAATAAATCAGAATTTCAGGGATGCCTGGCTGGCTCAGTTGGAAATCCTGATCTCGGGGTCGTGAGTTTGAGATCCAGGTTGGGCGTAGAGATTACTTAAAAAATAAATTTTTTTAAAAAATCGGAATTTCAGTTAATGGGAATCTAAATAGCCAAAATCATTTCATATTCACTACGTTTAGGAGAAAATAGAGGGATAGAAGAAATGCTCATTAGGGATGATTGAAAAATACACATAACTTGCTAAGATATATTAAGATATAACTCTAGGGGCACCTGGGTGGCTCAGCTGGCTAAGCGTTTAACTCTTGATTTCAGCTTGGGTCCTAACCTCGGGGTTGTGAAATCGAGCCTTGAGTCAGGTTCCCTGCTGGGCATGCAGCCTGCTTAAGATTCTCTCTCTCCCTCTGCCCCTCCCCTCTCTCTGTCTCTCCCCATCTCTCTAAAAAAAAAAAAAAAAAAAAAAGATAATTCTAAGGTACTACAAAATTCCCAGTCAGAAAAAAATTAAGGGTTCTGTATTTATTTATATAGTATATGACTGCTATACATACTAAACCAGGAAAAAGCACAGATTTAAGAATGTAAGGGGAAGAAAAGACTTCTGGTTACATAACCCTGGTTCAGTGATTTAAACCAGAGGTTCACAGCTTTTTTTTTTCTGTAAAGGGCCAAATATTTTACGGTCTATGGGCCATACAGCCTCTGTTGGACCTACACAATTCTGCCACTATAGTGCAAAAAAAGCAGCCATAGACAGTATCTAATCAAATGAGCATGGCTGTGTTCCAGTTAAGCTTTATTTTTAAAGATAGGCAACTGGCCAGATCCAAACCATTTCTTCCATGACACACTGTAATTAAATAAAATTACCACCATACGAACAAATGTAATTTCTCAAACAATAAATCCCAAAAACATAATCATAGTTTCCAATAGGACCTTAAGAAGTGGAGATCAATTCATTTAACATTCAAAGCATGAAAAAAGTTGGAAAACAGTGAAGAAGCAGTTTTCATTCCTAAGAATGGAATTCTAATATATTGGGCAAAGCACTGGTCTTTTGACCATAAGGAATACTCTATAGGATAAAATACCTTTTTTGATGAATCTTCCTTCTCCAGTTGATACTAGGGTACCAGGTCTAGGTCTTTCAGGAAAATTAACTGCTGTGATAAAGTTTTTCCATTATTAAATGCAATTTAAAAAAGAACATCAGTTAAAATTTAGAAAACTGAATAAAGCAAAAAACCCAAAATCTATTTAAATACAAATCAATCCAAAATAATCTTACCACAGTCTTGCCACAGTTTCTGGAAAAGTAGAGTTGTTTTTTGTTTCTTTGCTTTATTGCCATAAGTATCTGGTTAAAAAGAAACCAGGAAATCATCACAGACAGGTTTATGCTGCTTCTCCTTTAACAAATAAATAGGTGTTTTATTCCCATAAGGTGCTTTAAACAAATGTATGTAATATGGATTTAGTAAGTGTTGCAGAATGTGTCCCAAGTCAGTTGGAAAGGGTATAATATTCATCTTGTTTTCTTATAACACCTATAAGTCAACAATGTCAACTAATGCAATAAAGGCAGATAAGGACCAAACCAAAATGGAGACCACTCTGAGTGGCAAGCTTTCCATCTTAAAAAGGGCACAATAAGTACAAAAACAGAATCTCAAATATATAATACATTTTGATAAACAGTTCAGATACTCTGAAATTATTCTAGATTCCTTTCCAAAGAAAGGCAAAGAGCAGAAGGACCAATCGATTAAAAAAAAAGTCAACTGGGCGCCTGGGTGGCTCAGTCGGTTAAGCGACTGCCTTCGGCTCAGGTCGTGGTCCCAGGGTCCCGGGATCGAGTCCCACATCGGGCTCCCTGCTCTGCGGGGAGCCTGCTTCTCCCTCTCCCACTCCCCTTGCTTGTGTTCCCTCTCTCGCTGTGTCCCTCCGTCAAATAAATAAATAAAATCTTAAAAAAAAAAAAAAAAAAATCAACTGAAAACTTCCAGAAAATAGGGGCGCCTGGGTGACTCAGTCGTTAAGCGTCTGCCTTCGGCTCAGGTCATGGTCCCAGGGCCCTGGGATCGAGTCCCACATTGGGCTCCCTGCTCAGCGGGAAGCCTGCTTCTCCCTCTCCCCACTCCCCCTGCTTGTGTTCCCTCTCTTGCTTGCTGTGTCTCTCTCTGTCAAATAAACTAAAAAAAAAAAAAAATCTTAAAAAAAAAAACTTCTAGGAAATAAAATGTAAATTATGAATAAACCTAACTGTAACCAAATGTATCTTACAAGAAAATGTTATTAGGAGAACTAACTTTAAGAAATACATAAAACATGACCACCAAGAAGTCATACCTTTTTCATCTGGCAGATACCTAAAATCCATAGATTCACTAACTTCCTGGTCAGAAGGTCTCCGCAACTGCATTTTTACTGTCACTGGTTCTGTTATCGCTCTGCAATATGGTGGAGTCTTAAAAACAATGGCTACTTGACGGTGTACATCAGCTTGTGAAAAGATACCTTTTGCTTCCCAATCGTTCAACACAAACCGAACTTCTATGTCATCTAGTGAATACAAAAGTAAAGGAATAGCAATGGAAAACAAAATCCATCTATCAATCTAAAATACAGATGGTCCCCAACTGATGATGGTTCACTTAACAATTTTTTGACTTGATGATGGTGTGAAAGTGATACGCATTCAGCAGAAAGTGTATTCCAGATTTTGATTTTTTTCCCAGGCTAGTGATAGGCAGTACGACACTCTGAAGATGCTGGGCAGGGGCGCCTGGGTGGCTCAGTCGGTTAAGCGACTGCCTTCGGCTCAGGTCATGATCCCGGAGTCCTGGGATCAAGTCTCGCATCGGGCTCCCTGCTCAGCGGGGAGTCTGCTTCTCCCTCTGACCCTCCTCCCTCTCACGCTCACTGTCTCTCATTCTCTCTCTCGCAAATAAATAAAATCTTAAAAAAAAAAAAAAAAAAAAAATTTTTGAAGATGCTGGGCAGTGGCAGCAAGCCCGTCGGCGACATGACCAGGAGGGTAAACAACATATATCACAACTGTTCTGATTTTCACTTTCAGTACAGTTTTCAATAAATCACACGAGATATTCAATACTTTATTACAAGTAGGCTTTGTGTTAGGTCATTTTGCCCAACTGCAGGCTAATGTAAGTGTTCGGGCATGTTTAAGGTACACTAAGCTCAATTATGGTGTTTGGTAGGTTAGGTGTATTAACTGCATTTTCGATTTAAGATTATTTTCAATTTACAGTGAATTTATGATAGTATAACCCCACTGTAAGCCAAGGAAGATCTGTCTATTCTAAATTCAATGAAACAAATAAATGAATACCTTTCTGAACTTTATCACATAGTAGAAATATTTCATCACCACCTCTGACACTTCCACAGTTCTTGTTTACACGACAAATCCTTAATTCTGCAGTATTAGGAGCACCTAAATATAAAGGATTGTTTTAATTGGTTTCTGCTTTAGTAATATTTTTTATTCCTTTTTGATGGTGAGAATTATAGGAAAACAATTTACAGAACAGATAAAAGCTTTAGTGTATACATAAATTAAGGACACTAAGTACATTAATCACCCACAACTGTCCTTTTCCTTTCTAACTGCACTGCCCAACCTGGTTTACAGCCTTGTGATTTCGTTTCTCAGCAATAACTGATCCTCTAGTTAAATCTCTCTGTTCCTAAATTCTGATTCTTTCAATCCATCCATACACTGTCACCAGATTAATCTCTTAAATCATAACTATAAGCCTATAGCAATGCAATTTCATGCTTCCTATTAGGAATATAATTTTAGTAACTCTCCCTGGCAATTTAAAGTTCTCCATGATGAGGATACTCTGATCCACCTTTATAGGCCTATGTCCCACTATGCTACTATATGTAAAACAGGCAGTAATATACCATGAATGGATGCATATATAAGAGCAAATACACACACACGTGCACACGAAAACTTTGAGGGCAATTTCTTTTAAAACTACGAATACCCATATCCTTTGATCTAGCATTTGCCAACATTTCTACTTCTGTAAAATTATGCTAGAGACACATTTGCACAAAATATGCACATACAGGATATCTTCTGAAGTACAATCTGTTAGAGAAAAAAATCGAGAAGGAAACAAACCAAATGTCTTGTAATAGGGTAATGATTCAATAAAATTGTGATAGAGCCATATAAGGAAATATGCAGCTACTGAAGAGAATAAGGTACCTGAAAAGGGAAAAAGGCTCAAGATATATTGCTAAGAGAAAAAAAAAATTTTTTAAATGATCTGTGATGATTTTTTTTAAGTTGCCAAAAGTATACTATATGAATGATACTGATGATGTGTTTTTATATATGAAGAAACTGGTGAAATATGTACCTGGGGACAGTGATTATCTTTGGAGGAAAAGATCAGAGAAAATCTATTCCTGTTATTTCAGTAATGCCTGAATTTTTCTTATAATGAACATACTCTTTCTCTAACTGCCAAAATACCTTAAAAAATTAAACTAAAAAAAATAAGCTAATGCTACAAATATAAGAAAATAAAGTACTTACGGTTGTCATAAATTGGGTTAGAGACAACAGGAGGTAGAGCCGTTGTCAAATTACCATGTTCATCAGGGAGGAAAACTTGAAAACATAATCTCACCACATTGAGGTCGCAATCTTCAATATCAAGCAGCTGCTGTTCAGGGACTAAAAAGTACATTTTTTTAAGAATGTAAAATAGTCACATAGAACTAAAATCCGGCTAGGTCCTCCTCCCTGCCCAACATATCCAATAACCCTAAGTAGCATCCAGTCTATGCTAACAAAATAGAATAGTATACAATCTCAAAAATGCCTTTTATCATTATCATATGTAGTCACTAACAGTATTCATTAAGTTATGTGCATGGTTGGGAAGTAACTACCCTAAATCATCTGAAATTTAGAGCAGAACTCTGAATTGATATTAATAACCAACCAAATTTTTACTAAAATGGTTGCAGGTTATACAAAACAGGGAAGAGGGAGAATATAAATCTGTGTAAGAACTACTATCATCCCTATTTTATAGATGAGGAACGGATTTTAAAGAGATAAAATTACTTCTCCAAAGTTCCAGATAGGAAGTGGTAGAGAAAGAATTCATACTAAAAAGTCATTGAATCCTGAACCTATGCTCTTGAAAACTGAACTCTATTAGAAATTTTACATATGTTTTGCATAAAGGTGACATACATAGAAATATTTACCAAAACTCAGAACAATACCTTAGGGATTAAATACCAAGAAGATAATAGATGATATAAGGTAGCCAGCTAGTTTCCATAAAAAGTTTTTTTTTTTTTTAACAATTTTATTTATCTATTTGACAGAGAGTTCACAAGTAGGCAGAGTGGCAGGCAGAGGGAGAGGGAGAAGCAGGCTCCCCGCTGAGCAGGGAGCCCAATGCGGGACCCGATCCCAGCAGCCTGGGATCATGACCTGAGCCGAAGGCAGACACCCAACCAACTGAGCCACCCAGGCGTCCCTCCATAAAAAGTTTTATGTGCGGGCACCTGGGTGGCTCAGTTGGTTAAGCAACTGCCTTTGGCTCAGGTCATGATCCTGGAGTCCCGGGATCGAGTCCCGCATCGGACTCCCTGCTCAGCGGGGAGTCTGCTCCCTCTGATCCTCCCCCTCTCATGCTCTCTGTCTCCCATTCTCTCTCTCAGATAAATAAAAAATCTTAAAAAAAAAAAAAAGTTTTATGTGCAAATTAGGTCTGCTTTAAAAGACAAAAAAATGCTATAGCAGGAAAAATTTGCAGTTCTGAAAAAATATAAAAACCTTTATGACAGGGGCTCCTGGGTGGCTCAGTCGTTAAGCGGTTTGCCTACGGCTCGGGTCGTGATCCCAGGACCCTGGGATCGAGCCCCACATCGGGCTCCCTGCTCCGCGGGAAGCCTACTTCTCCCTCTCCTACTCCTCCTGCTTGTGTTCCCTCTCTCACTATGTCCCTCTCTGTCAAATAAATAAATAAAATCTTTTAAAAAAATTAAAAAAAAAAAAACAACCTTTATGACAGAATATAATGTAATGACAGTTTGTTAAATTGATATCTGAAAAGAAATCCAGGTTTAGTTTTGGAATTAAAATATTAACTGCATTTTCAAATAATATAAGCTGTAGAAGTAAATCATAACAGTCATTTTTTTAAAAGCACAAAATACACAATTATGTGAAAATTTTTTTCAGAAAGTATTAAAATTTGAAATGCTAAATTGGAAACACAGTTAAAACCCAAATTCTTTAGTCTTACAGGCAATAATAAAATGACAATACAATTTTGATTCTGACTTTTTATTTAAACTATGCTCACAGTCTCAGTAGCTATCACAACATTTAAAATATCCCCATTAGTTTTTTTTTTTTAATTTATTTATTTGACAGAGAGAGAGATAGCGAGAGAGGGAACACAAGCAGGGGGAATGGGAGAGGGGGAAGCAGGCTTCCCGCCGAGCAGGGAGCCCAACGCAGGGCTCGATCCCAGGACCCCGGGATCATGACCTGAGCCGAAGGCAGACGCTTAACGACTGAGCCACCCAGGTGCTCCCCCCATTAGTATTCTTAAGCGAAGCATTTGAAGGCATCTACAAGAACTTATTTGTACAACTATTAGGTCAAAATACACACCTGTGATGCAGGTGTTCATATCATAACATAATATGACATAACAGGTGTGGTTGAAAGGGGCTTATTACAAAAAACAAAAGATACTCCTTTCAATTTTTTTGTGTTATCACTTAGCCAGGGTTTTAGGAGCTCTTTGCCAGGAATGGGGGTGAAGAGCAAATATATATTTATTATAAATCACAATATCACAAAAACCCAGAGAGTTAAGTTCAGCGTAAGAGACCTCTTTTTTTCCAGATAGAGCCCGCCAATTTTGTAAGAGGTGGCTAAGAAAATGAGAAGTTGAGATCAACTCTCAATAGCCTATAGAGGAAAAAGAAAGGAGTTCAGGTTCTACTGAGGATGGAAGATCTGATAAATGCCCTATACTCTGGTTGGGGCCCTGAAGGAGCTATACTTTAGGAGTTAAGAATGAACTGGAAAGACACCAGATCTCACAGAGATGAAGTCCGGCTTCAAATAATCTAACTCATTCACGGATCTGAGGCGATCTGAGATTGCTATTGACTAGCTGCCTACCACAAGAAAATCTTCTGGGAAAAAAAAAAGAAAATCTTCTGAAGACAGATAACAATATCCTCAGCCTAAAATCTTTATAATTTTTCATATACAATGACTGGTATTCTATTTTAAATAACAGGTAAATGAAGAGACAAAATAGAGGAATTTTGTTTTTTGTGTTTTTTTGGGTTTTTTTTAAAGAAAAGAAAAATAGTCTATAGAAACAGACCAGGGGCGCCTGGGTGGCTCAGTTGTTAAGTGACTGACTGACTCTTGATTTCAGCTCAGGTCATGATCTCAGGGTTGTGAGATCGAGCCCCACGTCATGCTCTGGCACTGGGCGTGAAGCCTGCTTAAGATTCTCTCTCTTCCTCTCCTTTTGCCATCCCCCCCCAAAAAAGAGACCATAAAGGATTCAAATAATGAAGTCTTCAGACAGGTTATTTAAAATATATATTCAAGGAGTTAAAAGACAAGATGGAGTTTAGTAGAGAACTTGAAACTATTAGGAAAGGAACCAAACAAATTCTACAACTGAAAAATACAGTAAACTGAAATTAAGACTATCATCAAATTTATCAACTGTTTTTATAAAACTTTATTTTGTATATTGCCTTTCTATATGCCAAGGACTAAAATTTGTTTACCAATATTTTTTACCAAGAGTCTTTAAAAATGTTGATTTACACTTAAATCTTCAATTCATTTTCAGCTGATTTCTGTATATAACAAGAGGTAGAAAAATTCAACTTAAGTCTTGTATTTTCTTAAGTGTCTTTCTGGGCTCACAATTCTACTCCATTGGCCAATCTGTCTATTATTACCCCAATACTATGCCTTAATTAATACGTCTTCATAATAAACCCTATTATCTGATAAAGTCAGTTCCTCATTGCTGTTTCTCTTCTATAAAGTATCCTCCTTCTCCTGTTCAGAATCATTTCATCATATTTAATGAAAAATCTCAAGAGTCTGGACTTGCATTGAATCTGTATATCAATTTGGGGAAAAATGCCATCTTTATAATATTGGTATTAGTGAACATGACATATATCTCCTTCGGTTTAGGTGTTCTCTATCATCTCATAATGAAATTTTATAATTTTCCCTAAAGAAATCTTGGTCATTTCTTAGATTTGTTGACATGTACTTTACATTTTCTGACAATTTTTCTTTAATTATTTGCTGCTGATCTATAGAAACGCAACTGACGTTTACATATTAATTTTACATCCACTCACCCTTTTAAAGTTATTATTTTAATAATCTATTTGTACGTCCTTTTGAGTTTTCACCATAAATAATAGCTTCCAATAATTACAGTTCTATTTCTGCATTTTTGATCAGGTCTCACTGCACTGGCTACAATCCCCACTACAACGCTGAACAGAAGTAGAAAGAGTACACATCCTTTCCTCATTCCTTTTCAGAGTGAATGCTTCTGATGTTTCCTTCATTTAGGATAATGCTTGCTGTAGGCTTTTTAATACATACATATCATTCTATAGCACAAAATGCAGTATTTTATTCTGCAATGTGACAAATGCTACTCAGCTTTTAAAAATATGCAAAATCTGAAGTATGAGAATAATCAAATTCTCTTAAATTCCTCTAAAACTAGTTTAAAATTTCCCTTTATATTTGATCAAAAGAAAACAAGGGAACAATCATTCTTAATCTATCTTTACAGATAAATATTACTCCTTAGTCCTAAGAGCAGGATGTACAAGAATTTCATTTTTATCAAAAATATATTACCATGATGTATTTCTCTTGGAAGTAGGGATTCTTTTTTAAAGTCAATTATAACATCTATTAGGTCTAGAGATGTGACATTTTCAAAATTCTAATACAGTTAAATACTACTGAAACACAAGTAAACAACAGGATAAAAATATACAGTATATACACTAATGATTTTATTTTTTTAAAGATTTTATTTATTTGACAGAGCGAGAGAGAGAGAGAGAGAGAGAGAGAGAGAGCACAAGGAGGGGGAGGGGCAGAGGGAGAGGGAAAAGCAGGCTCCCTGCTGAGCAGGGAGACCAATGCAAGGCTGGATCCCAGGACCCTAGGATCATGACCTGAGCCGAGGGGCTTAACCAACTGAGCCACCCAGGCACCCTGATCACTTGTCTTTTTAAACTGTGTTCTTAAAAAACTTAAGAAAAAAAATTAATAAAATAAACTGTGTTCTTTTTTAGACTACCAATATATAATAATTCCCCCAACTCAACTGTAAAACACTTTTTGTAACAATTCAATGTCCTCTGTATATGGAAAAATAGTAAAATACCAAATAAAACTGAATTGCAAATTCTTTATTGTCAAAATGCTAGATTTTAATTACTGAATATTAGAATTCCTTATATGTCCTTAAATACATAGATAGAAAATGATAAATAAATAAAATTTTTTTCAGCTTTTGTAGTAAGAGTCCTCTACGAAGTCTAACCGCTATTCTTTTATTCCAGCTAAGTGGACACTATTAAAACTTGATATTGAAAAAAAAAACAACTTGATATTGAAGCCCT